TTTTTTTTTTTTTTTTTTTTGGTTTTTGAGACAGGGTTTCCTGTGGCTTTGAGATTGTCCTCTGGACCTAGCTCTTGTAGCCTAGGCTGGTCTCGAACTCACATAACTGATAACTGATTCTTTAATATGCTTAAGATCCTTCAGCTGTATAGGTTGCCATACACAAGACACCTGTCCCTGGGGGTGTTTTTTTAGTTGGTGGCTTGGGGTGTTTTTTTAGTTGGTGGCTTTTCTACCATTTTTGGTGGGTAGACCAATGGTGTAGGCGTAATGACTTCAGAATGATCAAGATACCTGGGTGGAATAGGTGCCTCGGATTGGAGTGATTTTGTCTTCGAATCCTCCCAATGATCCTTGAGTCTAGCAATGATATGCTCACGAAAAGTTTCAATCTCCTTAATCATAAAAGATTCTAGGCATGATGGCAAATCCGTGAATTGCTGTGACTGCTCTTCTATACGGTTTTCTAGGTGTTTAATAAGTTCGTCTCTAGCTAGCATCTGGTGGCATGGAAACCACCATCCAGGAATTGAAGTTTAGCCTTGAGGTCATAATTTGCCTCAGCAATCGACTTGATGGACCTTTCTAATGTGTCAGCCCTGTTCTGTAATTCATCTTGCAAGCTTTGAAACTTAGATTCAACTCTATCATCTACCCCTTGCATTTTTTAGCCATTGAGATAATGGCATTATCCAATTGCTGAAACCTATCCTGGGTATCTTGCATCTTAGTAACCAAACTATAGGACAGAGAGGCTATATGAGTTTCAAGTTGATCTAATTGTTTAAATCTATCCTGGGTATCTTGCATCTTAGTATCCAAACTATAGACAGAGAGACTATCTGAGTTTCCAGTTGGTTACATATATTCTTTAATTCATTATGGTCCTCTGACTGCCTAGCCTCTAACGCCTCTGAAATGGAGCATCTCTCTGCGTTTATCTTATTATAAATGCGCTGCATTTCAGCTTGGGTAGTAGACAGATCTGCCCGTATCATATAAAACATAGAGCAAAGCCTATCATCTAGCTTCTGTTCTACATGCTGCATAAACGTATCATGGGTCAATCTGGTTTCCAAAACCTCATTACGTAAAGCTTGCATGTCCTGTAGGCAGGTGGTGAAATTAGCCTTATCCCTGTTCCTGAGGCTTCTGGCTAATGACAATATGTATATTAACACATTCACGGCTAATAAGGCATATAGGCCAATATTCAGCAGGTCAACCTCTTCCTCGAACATTGAATTTACATAAGAATTGAAAAGGTTACCAATTGGGAAAGATGATAGAAATTCGACCATTATTTACCAGAGGCGTCATCTCCAGATATAGTAACCACTTTTGACCAGCAGGTGGCGCAGTTGCATTTATTTTTGAGCAGGACCTGAAATTTCTGAAAAATACTAGGTATGGGAAAACTTTTGGACTGTACCTGGTGGAGACCAAGCTTGATGGGTGTAGCCGGGCAGGGGCTCTCGGCTGGGCTGAAGCCGGGGAAGCACAGCTTCAGGGTCGGTCGCTATGTGGCGGGGACACGTGGGTGAGCGTTTTCTGTGGATAAAAGCTGCAAGCGGGCGGTTGTGCCAGCCAGGCAGCTCTGGATTTCAGGCCGCAGGCATGCACACACAGCTAGATTTGAGCTAGATTTGAGCAAGCTGAAAGCGGCGACCGCAGAGGCGCGGTTTTTCTGCTAATGGCTAAAAGCCCAAGAAAATAAACTCCCCCCCCCCCCCCCCCAAGAAAAGGCAAGTCTGTTTTGGTTGCAGCTGAGGGCGGCTGGCAAACGCTAGCTGGCTAGCAGTAAATGATGGTGCAAATTGCTGCCTGGAGCAGTAAAACCTGCAGAAAGGCCTGCGGAAGATTTAAACTCTCCAGTGCGGGGCGGAGGGAGTTACAAGAGGGACGGCCCTGACAGGCGTGGTCAAGCACACCTGTAGCCAGCCCTTAGGAGGCGTGGTTACGGTGTCTCCCTACAAATGTATTTAGTAACTTTCTGGCACTGTAATGAGACACGGTTCCCCAGCTTCCTGAATGTCCTGGGAAGCAGGCATGGCTGGTATTGTGTGGTCGGAAGGTTAGCACAGGGGATAACAGCCCAGCTGTATTTCTGGTACTTTTGTGTTATGATCAAGCAAGCTCAGGAGAGTTAAACGAGGGCTTTGCGGTTTTACTTGTTTCTAACTAGAAAGTAACCCGAGAGTCGAGGGTATGGACATTTCTAGAGAGCAACGTTGAGACTTCTGTCTTAGGTTCCCTGGAGAAGGCAGGGTACTGTTCTCAGGGCCACTCTGTTGTGGAATATTATTTTAACTGGATAAAGGCGTGTTACATTTGTTTCTGATGCTTTTGTTAACGATGCAAAGACATGTTACCTGTGTATGATTAAATCAAATTAACCTGGGGTCAGGAGGCTGAGTCAGCAAGTACCTGACAGGAAGTGGGAGGGAGGGACTAAACGTAGGGAGGGCTGAGCAGGATGGCTCCTTTTTTCCGGAGACACAGCAAGGAGAGAAGGTTAGCTGCTTGCTGTTCAGCCTCTCTGAGCTAGCTGGATTTCACCTGAGCCTATAAGAAGGATAGAGTTTTAGATGAAGTTTCCTTTAGCGGCCATGATAGAACCAGTGCCTGACAGAACAGAATGCCGGCCTGGCTGTGGCCTGTGTGGCTGAACCACTGCTGGATAGCTGCAGAGCTGCATTTGCCTGTTATGACAGCTGTGGTTTAAGATGCAGCCACTGCATTGAATGCAAAAACACCTCTCGGCCTCCCATCATCCTCACCAGCGGCCTTCACAGAACAGCCTGTTCCAGGAATGACACATCCTGACATCACAATGAGAAAGAGGATTCTGTCTCTTGACCTGTACTCCCTGTATGTTTACCAGATAACCTTCTGCTTGGTGTGTTTAGAGATTTAATAACCCACAGTAGAGCCGGGTGTCGGTGGTGCCCACATCTTTAATCCCAGCACTTGAGAGGAATATGAGGCGGGAAGAGACAGGAGCTGAGGGCAGTCTGAAATTAGGTGCAATGTAGTGTAGTCTGAGGACAGGATTGCCCCTTTGGTCTGAGCATTGGGAGAGGACAGAACTCTCTAGTGGCTGGCCACTTTACTTCTCTGACCTTCAGCTTTAACCCCCATATCTGTCTCTAGGTTTTTATTATCTATGCTACAGTCCCACCAGCCTTGCTTAGAGTGCTCAGTAACTATGTGTGGATGACTAGGCAGAACTGATATGGACCATTCTACTAGATGGTTGCTGAAGTATTTATTTGCCAAACACAGGACTTGAACTCCAAGTTACTGCTTAGAATTTTAATTAAATACCGCTTTATAATGTTATCTGCACACAGTACACACATTTTTGTGAACTAACACATGCTGTATTAGTTTTGATGTTAACAAAATATAAGCATCTATAGACTATATTCTAGAGTGACTTCATTTATAGGGCGCTTCCGTGTCAGGGTTGGGTCACATTTGAAATCTGCAAGACTGCAGAGTGGGCAGGGCCCAGTCCTCCTCTGATGACCACGTGCATCCGTTCGCATGGTACCCTCGGGCTGTCTGGGTCCACAGGAAAGGCAACCCTGAGCTCTTCTCCCACCCAGCGCTCAGTTCCGCACTGATCCCCCAAACCCTGGTGCTGAAAGTGAGGGTGTCATCAGGCTGCAATGTGGGGTAAGGGCACCCCTCTTCTGAAGCAGCAGTCTGCAAGAACGTGTGTCCTAATGTTTAATCAGGGACCCAGAACCCCAGGTTGCGGAACGGAGAGCCGCAGTAGGGGTGGGAGAGGAGGACCAGAGAACAAATGGAGATTAGCCTATGGTTGATGACCTGCTGGAGGTGCCTCGTGGTTGGGAGACAGGCAGCGGTGTGGCATTTTGTGTTGCCAGGAGAGTTCAGATGGGAGCTGGAGAAGGTGGTATACAGCCATCCCAGCACTCCGGAGGCTGAGGCAGGAGGACTGAGATTTCAAGACCAGCCTGAGCTACGCATTGAATGCCTATCTGCAGGGTGAGGATGGGTAAGAGTGGGGGTGGGGGTGGGTAGGCGCTGTCAGAGCCAGGAGTGGCAACAGTCAGGGCTAAACAGAAGAGGGAGGGAAGGGGCAGAGGGAGGCTGGGCACACATACCATGCCCAAATGATGGGTGCCCACCTGGGTTTGCCATGCTCAGCCTCCCCGCTCGCTTCTTCCCACTTCCTGATCCTGGTCAGCTTCAGACTACCCCCCCCCCCCCCCCCCGCCAGGCAACTGACAGGCACTATTGGAACAGAAGAAAAATCTGATTTTAATGCTTTGTTCTTAGGGGCCTGGACCCTGACCATGAAGGGTCCATCTCTCCCCATCCCTCCGTAGAACAGGGTCTCCTTTCCAATAGGTTCTGACTGTTACTCTCTTCCTCATGAATCTTCAGTAGCTCCCACACTCTCTAGGTTACACGCCTCTGACAGCTATTCAAGCCTGTCAGAGTCTGCCTCCACTGCTAATCCTGTTTTGAGACAGGGTCTCACATGGTAGTCCAAGTTAGCCTAAAACATGTGACAATCCTTCTGGAGGAAAATAGTCTCCCAAGTGCTGGGATCACAGGTGTGAAGCACTATACTTGACTTCCATGGCGTGTCTTCTTTTTTCTTTTGGTATTTTGGGATATGGCTTCTCTGCGTAGCTCTGGCTGTCTTGGAACTCACTCTGTAGACCAGGCTGGCCTTGAACTAATATAGATCTGCTTGCCTCTGCTTCCCGAGTGCTGGGATTAAAGGTGTGCCCCACCAACGCCTGTCACATTGCTTGTCTTTTGAGACTCTTTGACAACCCTGGCTCCAATTTCTGACTTTGCAAAGCTGCCCTGTCCTCAGGAGCAGGGCGTGAGGATCACCTACTCTCTATCTTAGCTATATCTGCCACCATCCATGAATGCATGAAAATTACCTCCAATTCTAAACACCTTTTGAGTTCAGGGACCAGCCCCAGTAGGGCCTCTGTGACTCTGTGCTTTTCTGTGGCACAGTCTGCCCCACCCAAGACTGTGTCTCCCACTGTAGGCCTGGAGAGCAGAATTACCTGTGTAGCTTTGTAGGCTAAACACATGGTAAAAGCCCCCTTAGGTGTTGCTGGGCTGAGCTGAAGAGCCATTTCTCTGCTGCCATCTCTATCTCAGGCATGTAAGCCACAATACAGACATGGTCAAGATGAAATACAGAAGTGGTCATAGGCTCTGTAGCAGATGGCAAAGTCCTGAAGTCAGAGCACTGTTTGAGTGTGAAGAGCTGGGATGGGAATGGCCTATCAACACTGACCTATTAACACTGTCACCTTAGAGTGGTGCTCACTGGGTAGGGACTGCTGCAGGTCCTATGAGGCCATCTGGCTTGCCTACAGAACCCAGAGAGGGTAAGAAACTGGAGGTTTGAACCTTGTGGCAGGGATGTGTAGCCACTCTGGATTTAGTGACCCGTGAGAAGGTTTCTGAGGGAGTATGCTCTCTGGGTTCTGGGACTCAAGATTTCTTGTGATGCCCACTAATGATGCAGACTGTTGGGGTCCACTCCAGGTCCCCTGAACCAGGTCACTACAGTTGGAGTGAGGAACCTCATTTTAAACAAACCCCTATGGAATTCTGATGCCCATAAAAGCCTGCAAGCCTTTGCCTGCCAATCTCAAATGTGCACATTGGTGCAGAGTCAGGGGTGGGTGGGGGAGCTAATGATGAAACAGACAGGAAGAAAGCTGCAGACCTGTGTGTGAAAATGCCTGCTCCTCCTGGACCCAGCTGGGGGCTGGAGACCCCGGTGGCCCAAAGATGGGAAACAGCAGATGAAGCTTAGCTAGTGGGTCTAAAAGGAAAGGAAGGAAGGAAGGAAGGAAGGAGATGGAAGCTGGTCTTCATGAGGACTCTTCCCAGGAGCCAGATGTGCCCGAGACAGAGTAGCTTGTCTTACTCGGACCTCAGCATGTCCTCTGTGAAGCTGGACGGGAGAGTCACCGGGACAGGAGAATCATAGGGGCAGGAGGACACAAGGACAGGAGAGTCACTGGGGCAGGAGAGTCACAGGGACAGGAGGACACAGGGACAGGAGAGTCACCAGGATGGGTGGACACAGGACAGGAGAGTCACCAGGATGGGAGGACACAGGGACAGGAGGACACAGAGACAGGAGGACACCGGGACAGGAGAGTCACCAGGATGGGTGGACACAGGACAGGAGAGTCACCAGGATGGGAGGACACAGGGACAGGAGGACACCGGGACAGGAGAGTCACTAGGAACCTTTCTCACCAGTTTGAAACAGAGAGGGCTGAATCTCAACTCCCCACCACTCCCATTGTGCCCCCCCCCCATTCTCTTGACTTCTTTGGAGGGAGGAAGCAATGAAATAATCTTCACAGGACTGGAGCCAAGCCAGTTTTCAGAACAGGCCCAGCAGAAACTCACCACCAGGTCTTCACAGAAGACCCATGTACACCACCAAGGTGCAGGTGACAGCTTGTTCCACTCAGGGTTGGCCCTGCTGGGCTTGGCAAAAGGGGCACCAAAGTCTTCAGAGCTATAGACTCATGAGTGAAGCAGGCAGAGCCGAGGCAGGCATGTTGGGTGAAGGAAGACTGACTGGGAAGGGCTCCAGCCTTTAGCTGGATTTGCAAAGAGGGAGCAGACGGACTCTCTCTTGCTTTCACACTAAGGAATATATGGTAGCTGCAATCACTACCTGATACTCACTGACCATCCAAGGAGGTAAAATGGCTTCAACCCCCACTGGGCTAACCTGCCACATAGCTCACCTGGGACACTCCCCAACTAGTTGAAATTTCCAAGGCCACAGTCATCCAACGGCTTCTCTGTCAGAGACAAGGGCCTCCCGAGATCATCTTGCAGGGTTCTCAGTTTAAAACCAGGACACTTGAAAGGCAGGTTGGACAAAGGGTGGAACCACGGGTGGTCTGTGGGCAGTTATTAAGGGAGGCAGATCATTCTTTCTTGTTGTGCTCCAGGACACGGTAGGGAACCCCAGGGGTGCTTCTGGAGCTATGCTCCTCCTGCATGACGGGCAGTGTGGCCGGGGTGTAGATCTCAGAAATGTTGTCATTGTTTTCCAAGGCCCCATAGGAAAAAGAAGCTTTGAGGTCAGGCTGGACCGTTGTCCCTTTTGCATGCATGTCCTGCATACCTGAAATGACATCCATGTCCCCGGTCATCACATAGAAAGGGAGGCTGCACTTTCCTCTCTCCCACCACAGACCACCCAGAGCCCAGGGGCTGATCAAGTGCAGTACTGATTCCCCAGACACTTGAGAGTTAAGAGGAAATGCTCATATTTACATGGGAGGAAGGAATGTGTTTGCATCCTGAGTAACAGCTGGATAGGACAGAACACCGAACCCTGGACGACGTGGTAGATGCCACTTTGCTGTTGAATTAACTCAGGGATCCAGGAAGCTTTCTTAGCATTGAGGAAAGAGGGCAACTTTTGCATCCTGGAGACCCAGCAACAAGAGAAGCATTGTGATAGCTGGAGGGAGTGTTTGACCTTTGACCTTAATATTCCATATCTACATGCAGGGTGAGGTGTGATTTCCATCTCCATTCAGGGGAAATAAAGATCCAGCTTTGTTGTTGTTGTGCTATTACTGTTTTTAGAGACAGACTCTTACTTTATAACCCTGGATGACCTGGAACTTTTTAGGCACATCAGGATGGCCTTGAATTAACTGCCTCTGCTTCCTAAATGCCAGGGTTCTGGGCATGCACCCCTTTCCCTGGCTTAGAGAATTTAATCTTCAGTTCCTGTGACCTTTTTCTACAATCCTCCAGGAGATCACTTGGGGGCCAACTCTTTCCCTAACTAAATGTCTGCTAACTAAGTGTCTGCTGTGAAAGGATGGTAACAGTTGGCCTCTCACTGCCTGGCATACTCTGTGCACTGGACTAACACAACACAGCTAGGGACCAACACCAGCAGTATTGGCGGTGGCTGAGGTGTGCTGGTATTTAGACAACAACATATGCTCTTTCAAATGTTCATCCAAGTTTGTCTCATCTGAACCTTAAGGCCATGCAGAAGAAGGAATAGAGACAACTGGAAACAACTTAGACTCACAGCTGTTGAGAGGCAGTGGCAGGGATAAACGAAAGGGTGTTTAAACTCTGAAGCCTATGTTCTTAACTGAGTGGTATGTGGCCTCCCTATAGACTGAACTTAATCCCTAAACAACCCTAGGACAGAGATAAACTAGTACCCTCACTTCCTGGATAATAAAACAGGTTCCACGAGGCACAGTAGCATGACCAAGGACATACAACCAAAGAGCAGCTGGGGTCTAGTGGGAGAGCTGCAGCTTTAACATGTCAGCTGGGGAAGGCCTCCAGCCTCCATGTGACACAGATTCAAGGACTAGTTTAAGAGTCTATGTCTGTGCTTGGACAGATCCCCCCCCCCCCAGCACACACAAAGCTTTGGTCTGGATCCCAAGTACCACATAAAATTGGGCATGATGGCACACACCTGTAATTCTAGCATTTGGGAGGCAGAAACAGGAGGTTTACAAGTTCAAGGCAATCCTCTGTCATATAGAGAGCCCATGGCTAGCCTGGGTTACATAAGACCCTGTCTATAAAAATAAAGTCTATCGTTTGGAACTCATGGGGTGTGGCAGGGCAGGTAAGGGTGTCTACTGCTCAGGGGAGAGTCAGTTTACTGAGCATTGCATAGCTTTGAATTTTGTCAGTGGCTCCAGCTTTATGCCACCAGTCCCCATGAGTGTGATGGGTATGGATTTGCACTGTAGAACATGGAGTGTTAGGGGTATCTATTAGGGCTCTTAGGTTTGGGTTGGGGGGCCTGAGGAGGGTTCAGGATTTGACACTGTTAGGAAATGGGGTACTCCTGTCCTCGAGGACCTTACTGATTCTCTTTTAGAAGACTGGACAGGGCTCAGGCTGTGGTATAAGCCAGTACTGACGGACACTCAAGCCGGGTTAGGAACAGCACCTCTGCTCTCTATGGTTTGGACAATGTTCATGCTGGGTCTGTGTTCAGACATGGTAACAGAGTATTCCTGTCTATGTAGACACCCATGCAGATGGGCATGGCTCTACTGTGGTTACTGTGAGAAATGGTTTCTGTTGGGCTAAGGACAACAGAGCCAGTGGAGGCCCACTGCTGCTTTCTCTTTATCCATCTTTCCTAAAGCCCCTCCAACTGTGATGTATCCTGAAGTCCTGGAATCTGAAGACATCATACCAAACAGCCAGATACATGACCAGAGAAACCAAGTGACTAAAGAAGTGTCTCTATTGATGAGCAGGCCAGTCAAGTGCTGAAACACTGAGTGTGTGTGTGTGTGTGAGTGTGTGTGTGTGTGTACAAATGTGCCCTGTGTGCATGTGGAGGCTGGAGATTGGTGTTGAGTGTCTTCCTCGACTACTCTCTGCTTTAGATTTTTTTTGAGCCAGGGTCTTTCACTGAACCTTGAGCTCTCTGATTAGTTATATTGCCCCTTTGAGCACTAACACTATAGATACCTGCTGCTGGGCCGTGCTTTTATGGGAGTGGGTGCTGGGGATCTGCAGGTGGGTTCTCATAGTTGCATAGCAAACATTTTATGCACTGAGCCATCTACCCAACCCCAAAACTTCAAAGTTTTTAAAGAAAAATGAATCAAAGGCAAAGTCAATCAGGCATCTACTACATCCCAGGCACTGTGCCAAAGCCTTGACACACATGCACCCCATAACCCAGAGATGAGGGGTCCCTGTTTATACGTGAGGATGAGAGGCCTCGACATGTCATACGGGGGAAGGTGGCAGAGTTTGCATCTGAGTCAGGCCGTGTGAACTCTATGAGTCCAGTAGGATTGTCTCAACTGCAACAGGACCAGGTCTCCAATCTTCAACACCTCATTTCCTACTGGTCATGAGGTACAAGAGCCACGCCCGCAAACTGGTCATGGAATCCTGGTATCTCGGATCAGCTGATATCACCCCCTACTTCCCATGAGAGAAATACATCTGTATGTATGCACACAGGAACATGTGTATGGACAGACACACAGATTGTAAACACACAGACACACGGGGACATACACATACTCGCACACAGAGTTGACACCTCACCTATCTGGGATTCAGCTATCCAGCGCCCTCATCTATCCGGAACACAGCCGAGAAACAAGGAAGTAAGCAGAAGAGGCATCTGAGCAGCCAGGTTCGACGTTAACACAGTCCACGCACTTACAGCCCGAGCCCTGAGCTGCCAGGAGAAACCTCAGCCCCACTCAGCCACTCTGCGATTATCCACACGTGGCTGAGTCGGGTCAAATGAAAATGCTGACATGGGGTTCTTTCTCTACTCCTACTCAGGCAGGCTGGCCACAGCAAGCAGGGCAGATGGCAGCTTAGTAGAGCAAGATAAAACAAACAAACAAACCAGTAAGCGGTTGCAGCTGGGGCCACTCGACACGGGAGCACATCAACCAGTCCTGAGAACACACTTGGGTCATGGCATCAAGACCTAAAAGCTGGGTCATGCTGCTACGTAGCCTAGGCTGGTCTCAAACTCATGATCCTCCTGCCTCAGCCTCCCAAATGCTGGGATTATAGGTGCATGCCACTATGAACGTTTAAGAACTGCTCTCGATGAGGGAGCATTTTATGTGGCTGACATATGTGTTCATGCTTTGTTCACAGATTATGTGACTGGAGAATGGGGGACTAGGCTGTGGAAAATGCAGAAGGAAAAGCACACTGCACTTTTAAGTAAGGACGCTCCTAAAGTCAGAACACTGAATTCTGAAGTAGCTCGAGTAGCCGGTAGCTGGCCTGGGGACACGTCTGCACTCCCCACATCATCTTTAATGTGCTTTTTCCGCATAGAGACCCTGGTGGTGTGAGCGCTCACTGTCCAATCCGAGAGTGTGCTGAGCAATCACAGTAGGATTCTACTGAGTAAGTGGTTGCTCACATTCGATAAAGCAGATGCTGCTCCTGAAACTGTCTCCAGAGTTGGTTTCTGTCTTCATTCTTCACTAACCTACGGGTATCGTCTTGTTGGGGGATGCCCTGGTAATGGCGGCAGAGAGAGTCCCATCTTATATATTTAATATAAAGATGACTTTTGGGGTTCAAGTGGTAATGTTAGTGGGCATTAGTAGCCTGAAGAATTTGTATCAGCTAATCTAACCCAGGCTAACCCAGTCTTCTTAACTGTCCTACTCAGTTTTCCTAGCTCACAAGCCCCACTCCTCCCTATCACCTTGTATTTGGCTGACTGCTAAGTGTTTTCAAGGCTAAACACCATTTGAGCTTGCTTTCTCAGTGCAAGCCCTCAATTCCCTGGGAAAGTACGATGGTGCAGGATCAAGGTTATAGTGTTGGATTCATTCATGTTACTTTTCTTCCTCTCTGTCTGATCACTCTGTTTCTGTTTGCAGGCTTGGGGCCTGGTACTGATGATTGGAACCACATACGGTGTAATTTGGGCTTTTCAAAAGACCTAAGAACTGGCAAGGGGTTCTCAAGGCTGACGGAGGTGCCTCAGCTGTCACCTCCTCATTTGAAAGAAGAGATTAAAAGCGATACAAACCAACAAAAAACAGGGCAAGAACTCACGTCACAGCACAGCTATCCTGCTCTGCATTTCCAACACCAAGTAGCAGTCACTCTACAAGGGCAGCCAGCAGGGCACAGGGGTTCGGGAAGGGGCATTGTTACCTGGCATGGCGTCCATGGAAATATAGGGCTCGAATGGAATGGCCTTCTTCCTGTTTCTCGTGATTAAGAACACACCTAAGAAGGCGATGAGGCACCTGAGACAGGAGACAGGAGAGGAGGAGAAATGAGACCTGGAGCAACCACAAGGAGGGGGACTCATGGGCAAGTGGCTAAGGGCCCGCTAAAGGGATGACTAAGAACATGGGGCTTGCAACCAGCAAGGAACAGACACTATGCATAACAACAGCCTGGGGGCGGAGGCAGGGGACAGGGACTACACACCCACAGTCTCTACCAACTGGGTTCTGAGTTGTCTAGACTCTCCGGGAAAATGCTTGCAGCGTGTGGCGCGTCCACTTCCTTACAGCCAGTGTTCTCAAAAGCAGGCCTTTCATTTTTTAATTTTTTAAAAAAATTTATTTTATTTTATTTTGGTTTTTTGAGACAGGTTTTCTCTGTGTTGCTTTGGAGGTAGTCCTGGAACTTGCTCTGTAGACCAGGCTGGCCCACACCCCACAACCCCCCCCCTGCCTCTATCTCCCGAGTACTGGGATTATAAAGGTATGTGCTACCACTGCCCAGCTTCAAAAGCAGGCCTTTTAAAAAGCCATATTTTTGTTCCCTAACTTGAATTAATAATAATAATAATAATAATAATAATAATAATAATAATAATAATAAAAAGAGAAAAAAAATTTATTTTTCATTTTACATACCAACCCCAGTTCCCCCTCCCTCCCCTTCTCCTGTCCCCACTCCCCAACCATATATTTTGTTTTTTTTTTGAGACGGGTTTCTTTGTGTAACCTTCTCTGTCCTGTAACTCGCTCTATAGATGCGGCTGGCCTCAAACTTGCCTGTCTCCTTAGTGCTGGGATTAAAGGTATGTGCCACCACTGCCTGGCTCTAAAAAAAAATCTTTATGATTTGAATTCAGTTGGTATAAAAGTCTAGCAAAATGAAAATGAAAACTAGGAAGTCCCTGTGCCTCCTAGTTCAACGCCCTCAGGAGCTGGTTACTTTTCAAGTGCTCTCTCTCTATCTCTGTCTCTGTTGCCACCCCCAGAGCCAGGATTAAAGAAAGGTATGCTCCACCCCACTTGGCTTTTCTTTTCTTTCAGTTTATGTAAACAAGCAACTTCTTAAAATCAAGGTGCAATTTACAGGCAGTAATGCATGAATCCCAGGAAAAAAGATGAACAGTTTGTTTATATTACTTGTGCCTATGTTCCTCTCCCAGATTAAGACCAAAAGATTTCTAGCCCTTTAGAGCAGTGGTTCTCAACCTTCATAATGCTGCGACCCTTTAATAAAGTTCCTCATGTTGTGGGAACCCCAACCATAAAATGATTTTGTCGCTACTTCAGAACTGTAATTTTGCTACTATTATGACTCATAATGTAAAGATCTGATATACCGGAGATCTGACATTCAACCCCTGGGAAAGGGGTCCTGATCCACAGGTTTGAGGATCACTGCTCTAGAAGGTTCTGTGGGTAAGTTCTACCTCATGAGTGCCGGGATTAGAAGTGTGTGCCACAATGCCTGGTTTCATTCGGAGCTGGGGACGGAACCCAGCATGCCAGGCAGGAACTGTACCAAAACGCACCCCAGCCCAGCTCCCAGGAGGACTTGGTGCCTCTTCTCTTCATGCCCACCATGCCCAGAGGCCCTACCTCCTGGCTTCTCTCCCTGCAAGTTATATTTACCAGGAATGACAAGAAGAGAGAAGGCTGCAGGCCTTTGGGGGAACAAGTTTTTCACTTTTGGGGCCAGCCAGCACCCTGCAGCTAGCAGCTCTCCCAGCTCCGGGTCCAAGGCTGAAGAAAAGGGCAGGGACAGGGCCTGGCTAGATGGGGTGTGACTCACCCCAGTGCAAACATGCAGATGTGCAGCGCTTCCTCCCCAAGGAAGTCCAGGTAGAAGATCGCACCTGCGCAGCAGCAAGGGAGAGAAGAGATCATGACCATTTCCAGACTGCCCACCCCGGGTAGGCTGGGCTATTTGCTCTTCCTTGCAAGGTACCAAAGTGAGCCAAAACACTAGAACTAACATGGATGAAGGCAGATAGTCTTCTCCAACTGCCCTCTCAGGCTCTTTATATCCCCATATTCAAACAAACAAACAAACAAACTTTTGGGATAACTCTAAACTGCTCCAAACAGTAAGGGTCTCACACATACTTCAATCGCATCTCCTATCATTAACCACAGGACGTGATAATTTTCCCGCCTCAGCTTCCCAAGTGCTGGGATTACAGGCTCAAGCCACCATCCCCGGTTTGTTTGTTTGTTCCTTCGCTATTTTTGACGGGGTCTCATGCAGACCAGGCAGGCCTCAAACTCCTTATGTAGACAAAAATGACTTTGAACTTCTCATTTTCCTTCTTCTAATTCCCAAGTACTGGAATGATGCATACGGAGAGCCAGACCTGGTTAACGCAGCGTGGAGGATGGAACCCGGGGTTCTGTGCACACTAGGCCAGAATTCTACCAACTGAACCACATCCTAACCCAAATGACCAAATCAGTTGAAGAAGCCCCTGCCCAGGACCCACGAGCAGGAGGAACAGGGGATGTTTGGCTTGTACATATTGAATTCTAGAGAGGAAATGTTATGAAGGATGTAAAAGGGCAGCTCCGAGAAAGCAAGTGATTATTCCCTGAGCCACAGTGTCGGCATATATCTTCTGGAACGCAAGCCTCCATCTCTAAATCCCACGGCCTCCATAGGCAGAGCCGCAAAGTAGAGTTAGGTGAGAGGCAGGCCCTACCCCCACCCCCACCCAGGGACAATGCTTAGGCAGGAGACAGAAACCCAATGAGGGACTACTCTCACCTGCTGTGATGGCTGCTGTGGTGGACAGGATGTAGCCTACACTGGCGATCAAGGAGGAGTCATAGATCTGAGAGGCTTGACTCAAAAACCTGCAACACACAGGTACTTGGGTCAGGGGGCTGAGGGCTAAGAGTGGAAATTGGGGTACAAGACAAGGCATAGGGGTTTCTAGGTCTGTACGAATGGCCTCTCCCTACACAGAGTGCTGTGCATCCCAAGATTTGGGGTCTGAGATTGGCCCACAGACCGAGGCAGCATGCCTCTGACTGTGTGACTCTGGCCATGGCCACGCCCTTCTCCTCAGCCCTGATCCCCTCACTGGGTCCGCACTCATCCCAGGACACTCTCATGGGGTTTGTCACATCCAGCCCAATATTGCAATTTTTTAAACATTAGAAGCATATTTTAGTGGTTACTGCAATGACCTGGAGAAAGAAAGGGGATCTGTCTGTGGCAGACACCACCTTCATGTGGGAACCGATCCTCTGTCTGATTCTCCATTGACATCCCAGTCAGCACTGCACAGCTGCTCACAGGGACACTAACCGCTAAGCTAACCATCTGTGCCTGAGCTGTGTCTCTGAGGGCTGTGAGGTGGACTGTGGCTCTGGGTGCCGGGGGACTGTCCTGACTGGGAGACCAGAAGTTCCTAAGAGGTGGCAGGAGTCCCTGGCTGCCTGTGTGACCCTGATCCCTCAGCACAGAACCTGTGTACTTGGCGGGGGTTTTCTCCCTTGGGAGGGCTGTCAGGGTATCATGGGAGGAGGCTAAATGTCATAATAGTTAAAAGGATAGTAGTGACAAAGCTGGTGGCGTGTGTGGACCCCACGCTGAGGCACTTCAGGCAGACCTATGGGTCTCAGCTGCAGAGAGTAGCCCGGTGGGTCTTGGTGGAGCAGATGCAGAGGGGCCCAGACTGGGAGCCTGATGCCCAGGTTCAGCTCTCAAACTGTCACTTCCCAGCTATGATCTCCCTCTGCCTCCCACCATGGGACAGACAGTACCATCCTCATCTTCAGCTGCCCCTGTGAGCATAGGTAAACAGAAGATGGGGGCTCCCAGCATGGCCCTCAAGGTCAGATGGCTGGTGGGTGCTGAGCCCAGGCTAGACCTAGGAACCTGACCTTCAGAGTGGCTCAGCCTCACCCGCCATTTTGAATCTTTCTGGCTGACTGACTCAGATTGTCACCTCCCATATTCTTAGGGTGCCACTCCCTCCCAGTCCCCGGCAGGGAGGGCTTTAGGACTCAGAGCGGGCAGGATTGCAAAGCTTCATACTCAGCGGTAGACATGAGCGTGTACTCTTTTCTGTGTGAGGATCGGGGCAGAGTTCTCAAGGACAGGAAATGACAGCCCTGTTTCTCTAAGGAGACAAGCAAGCGCCTCCTAGGAGACGGCATGGCTTCTCTTCAAGTTCCCACAGGGCAGATGACAGGAGGTGAGACTGTTTCTCGTACTTTGAGGCAGGGAGGTGAGTGTGTGGGATCTCCCCTCCCCCCAGGAGCTCATCTCCATCCTGATTCTTACTGGCTACCTGTATGTTCTGGCTCCCTGACTACTTCAGAATGCAGAGGAAGAAATGCAACGCACGTGGCCTGGTAGATGGCAGAGGCCACCATGCACACAAACATCACGTAGAAGATGGGGTAGTCCAGCTGCAGGTTGCCCTGGATGGACAGCACCAGCATCCCTGACACAGCCTTGACTGTCACCACTGTCATGGAACCTGTGGAGAGCAAGCAGAGAACGTAAGGTGTCAGAGCCTCAAAGGACCTGGGGGCAGAGGTGGGAGGGTCATGAATTCCTGTGGTAAGAAGACACCATTGGATAGGTCTACCTTGCTCAAGACTCCCAGATCTGGGCTGACAAGTCAAAGGCAGGGATAGGAGGTACCCACAGCTATTTCCAAGTGTCACCTCACTGTACCCTAATGGGTAGCAACTTCAGGTTTCTGTCCCCAGACTACATGGGAGTGAGCTTTTTGAACGGATACACAAATTTCCCTGAGTACCAACTTCATGATAATCCCAGGATAATATAAGTGAGGAAAGAACTCAGGAATTGGGGCTTCATAATACTCAGTCACATGTATTTCCTGTGGGTTTAGGGACTGGAGAGATGGCTCAGTGGTTAAAAATACTTGCTGCTCTTTTATGGGACCTGAGTTCAATTCCTATCACCCACACCTGTAAGTCCAGATTCTGGGGATGTGACACCTTTTTGGCTTTCATGGCAATCATACACACATATCTGCCCCCCACGTATACATAAAAAAGTAAATATTTTAAAAAACCTGATTGTTTTGGTGTGTATGTGTGTGTCAATGAGTGTACACAGAGGCCAGATTTGACACAGGGTATCTTCCAGTTGTTTGTTGTTCTCTCTCTCTCTCTCTCTCTCTCTCTCTCTCTCTCTCTCTCTCTCCAGAATTCTTACTGAACATGGAGCTCATCCATTTGGCCAGATTGGCTGGCTAGTAAGCCCAGGGGATGCTCCTATCTCTGCTTCCTAGTGCCAGGATTACAGGCGCACACTCTGTGCCTGGCTTTTTATGTGGGTTCTGGGGATCCAAATCCAGGCCTCCAAGCTCTATATTGACTGAGCCATCTCTCAAGCTCCTGCCATATATTTCTTTACTCTAAGAAGCTTCTAGTGTTATGTACCTTTATGCATATGCAAATCAAATCCAACATATTTTTATTTACTTCAAAATTATAACTATGTAACAATGCATTTATATGACAGGCACATGCACATATGGCATAAAACATGTACAGGAAATGTAACTACTTAAAAGATGGAAGGAAAACGGTATAAGCTCTGTTTTCTTCCTGTACATCCCATGACTGTCATGGCCACCTCACTACGAAGACCCATTGCTAACCTCCTAGTGGCTTCAGCTTGCAAAGTGTCATATCCCCTGTCAAACCAGAGTTAGAAAAAAACAACTGGAGTAAGAGACAGAAGAAGCCACAGCCCTGACTGAATTGTTTTCCTCCTCCTCTGTCAGCTACCTCATGAACTTTCTTCTTGGGCCATTGCACTAGTTTGCAGGCACCGGTAGCCACTGAAGTCAGGTGTGCATCACCATACTGTCCACGCCACCAAATAGCAGGTGGGCCATGAAGAAAGGGAGGAGATGCTGATGACTCAGGTCCTAGCCACCTCAAAGACACAACAGGACAGGGGACTGGCTGCAACTTGGGCACACTAAGAATGTTATGTACAAACAAGCCAGTTACAAAAAGGCTTCATGGGGCCAGGTGTGTAGTATACACCTGGAATCCCAGCACGCAGGAGGCTGAGGCAGGAGGATCAAGAGTTCAAGGCTAGCTGTCTACAGAAGATGCAGCTCAGTTGAGAGAGGGCTTGCCTAGCATGCACAAAGCCCTGGGCTTAGTCCCCAGCACTGCCTAAACAGCATTCAGGAGGTGCCAGCAGGAGCATGAGAAATTCAAGGTGGCAACACAGCGATTTCAAGGTCAGTCTGGGCTACCAGGGACCCAGTCTCAATACAAATAAACAAAGAGCCATATTAGAATATAATTCCAGTTATAGAAGATGTTCACAATGTTCATACACAGAAGGTAGGTTAGTGGTTGCCTGGGGCTAGGAAGAGGGGAATGGGAGTCACCGGTACTGAGTACAGGGTTTATTTGGGGGATGAAAATGTTCTATGATTAGATTGTGGCTGGGTGAGTCTGTGACTATAGTAAACCCTACGCAATGGTTTACCTTGAGCAGTTGAACCACGTAGCATAGGCTTCTATCTCAAGAAGGCTGTTTTAAAAAGTAGGTCAAAATAATGCCAGCCTGTCTTCAGTGACACATATCTGTGTGGTTTGGGGGGCTCTTACCAAGGTGGATGGGAGGAAGAACATGTGGGTGTCTCTGCCATGTCTGTTAAACAATGTTGGTGTATTTTCCTTGTCCATTTTGGAGTGTTGTGTAATGGAGAGACACCAGACGGCTAGCCCTTGCTCCTGCTCCACTGGACACTGGGTGACAAGCAGCATCCTTACCTCAGTCTGAGGGCCCTCTCCCCACTCAGCATCCATCCTTTTAAAGGAAGGAAAACTTGTCTGTTCCAGCTCCATCCCTGCCCTCTGTCCATTCAGCCCTTTGAGGATACTGCTGGACAGCTCAGGGGTTGCTCTGAGGTGACCTCTGACCTCACCTAGCTTACCCTACTTCCTTCCTTCCTTCTGTTGGGTCACTGTCCACACTTATGTGGCTGTGGTCCATGTGTTTGCTCACTTTTCTCTCACTGAAGATGGACCTCTCTGAGTCACCACTTGGGCCCTCAGTTCTAGACACTTGGAAGACTTGAGATTTGAGCCAGAGTGTGAGAAATGCCAGGATCCACCTCTGTCAGCTGGGGCCCTGCTCCCTGTGGCCACCTGTGGAGTGACCACCTTGAACTAACCTCATGAAGCTCCTGTGTGCTTCCATGCACCAACCATGTGCAGGGCTACTGGGGGTGACAAACCCCATCACCCAGAAACCGCTTACCAAGCAAGGCCACCAGGAGGAGAATCACGACGATGCTGTTGGCGTTCTTCTCCTTGTAGAAGTATAGGAGCAGGCAGAACAGGACAATCGCCACCAGCTGCAGAGGACATCAGAGATCACCAGGCATTTAGTCAGGAATTCAACATGTGTCCTCTGTCCCAACCAAGCCTTAGTGTATAGAGAGTCCCAGGACAGCAGGATGGCCAGGGATATATAGACCTTGTGTGTGTGTGTGTGTGTGTGTGTGTGTGTGTGTGTGTAGAGAAAGGGGAAGGCAACTGTTGGGCCCAGAGGCACACTTGGGAGGTGACTATACGAGAAGTGAGAGTTCAGGGCTGGCTTAGACTGCATAGTGAGTTCAAGGCCAGCCTTGACTTGATAAACTTAGGTCCTATCTCAAAATAAGAAAGTAAAAAGTGGCTGGTACAGACAAATGGCAGAGCACTTATCAGAGACATTCCAGGCTCAGGGATCCATATCCAGGAACAACAATCCAAACCAAATCAAAACAACAGCAAAAACAACAAAATGCTACCCCCAAATGAGAGATCTTAAAATGTCCCTGTAACTGGAGGCCATTAACTCAAACTCTTCCATGTCCGCTGTGTCCTGCTCTCCAAGCCAGGGAGTGTGTCTTACCTAGTTGTCAGTCTGAAAGCGAGCCTCATGTTTTAGGAAGGAGTCACACGCCATCCATGTGGTTACTGGTGGATACCCCATCGTGTATACTCAGGCTGACTAAGTAGCACTCCCGAGGCTGTGTGTGCTGGAGTGGGGGCACCCCAGTTTTCAGCTATTGCCTGAAATGACTCTTTGTGATTCGCCAGTGAATGTTAGCATAGCACCTGTGTTAAACCCTAAGATGACCATGCATGTGTGAGCATCTCGGGAGAGACAGGAGCTGTGAGATGAGCTCAGTGACTTTCCATACCCACAATTCCCAGAATGCAGGGAACCCCCTAGACATGTATTCCTTGAACTTGATTCAATTCTTTCAGCCAGTGGCACTGTCTCACTGTCAGGCCTCGTGAAGCCACGGAGCCCTCCAAGGAGCATCTTTTGTACTTATTCACAGTCTCATGCTGCACCCCAACAACCCCAAGTGTAGTCACTTTACTATTTCACAGAGAAGGAATGAAACTTGTCCAAGGCCACACAGCACCCACAGGATTTGAGGCCTACTATTGTAGGGAGACACTCTAGCCCCGTCCCAGGTAACCCGGACAGGTGTGCCGGAACACGCCCATGAGGGCGGGGTGAGGGGAAGTCTAAGGTGACATAGGATAGGCTTCTCAAGAGGACCGTGGACACATGGACGCTCTTCTCTCCTTCTGCTGGCCCTGGTCCCGGCTCCCTCCTCCTCGCTTTGGCTTGTGCTTGGCTGGTGTATCTGAATAAAGAAAACCTATGCCCTATTGTCTGCTGGTTGATCACTAACATACTATCTCTTAGTGAGAAGCCCATTTTGGGGTCAGGTTCAGCTAAAATAGTTTCTGTTAGCTGGAGGCAAACAGACAACCCTGGCCTCCTGGGATCCCATCCTCTGTATTCTGGACCATGTGAGGCAAAAAGGCATTCTGGCCACCCAGAGTTTTAGTGTCTCCATCCATGAAATCATGAGGAAAACAGCTTAAAGCGTTGAGAGAATGCGCAGTGCGTAAACCCATTTTGCGCTGTGTTGGCGTGAGGCCAGCCCACAGCAGCAGTTGTTTGAGCACCAGGGCTGTACTCTTTTTCAGTGTTTGTGTATCTGAAGTAATCTAACACTGGCTGGGGGCTCCATCCCCTGGCTTCCTACCAGCTGTGTCTAAATTCTCAACTTTAAAAACTGTAATTTTAATTAACTATTATTTTTGTTTGTTTGTTGGCTTGTTTGCTTTTGAGGCAGGGTCTCCAAGTCCAAGCTGGCCTTAAACTGCCTATGCAGCTGAGGGTGGCTTTGAACTCCCAATCCTCCTACTGCCATCTCCCAAATGCTGGGATTACAGGCATGTGCCACCACACCTGGTCTATGTGGTGCTGGAGATCCAGCCCAGGGCTTCGCGTCAGCAGGAAGGAACTCTGACAACTGAGCATCCATATTTTAACTCCCTCTTTTATCATAAAAACTTAAAGAATCTTTCTTTTTATTTATTTTTTGTGTCTTTCACATCATGCCTCCTGATCCCACCCATCTCCACCCCCACCCCACCCAAAATAAAACAAAATTTAAGAGAAAAAAAGGAAGGGGGAAATCTCATCATGGAAGTTGCAGTGACACAGTGAGTCACAAAGTAACCCCCTTTCTCCATACTTTTTTTTGGGGGGGGAGGGGGTTCCGAGAAAGGGTTTCTCTGTAGCTTTGGAGCCTGTCCTGGAACTCACAGAGATCCGCCTGCCTCTGCTTCCGGAGTGCTGGGATTAAAGGCGTGCGCCACCATCACCAGGCTTATCCATACATTTTTACATGCAGCCATTCATTGCAAAGAATCATTGGTCTGCTTGGAGGTCCCTGATCTTTTACAACATCGATGCAGGGTCCTCACTGGGACTTTTCCTGGACATCCTGTTGCTGGCCTGTGTTGGAGATCCTGCAGCCCTGGGTCCACAGGACCAAACCCCACCCTCCAGATCACAGGTAGGGTAGATGTTGGAGTGGACCAACACAGAACCCTGGTTCTGGGCCTGGTAGTTGGCAGAGTTGGGCAGCCTTGAGTTTTGTGTAGCTCAAGGCTGGCCTTAAGGTCTTGATCCTCTTGCTTCAGTTTCTCATGTAACTGTCAGCTCTCCCACTCTTCACCACCAGGGTGCGCTCTCCAGCACTGCCCTGGCTAGTTCACCCTTGCACCGATGAGCAAGGGGTGGGGTCAGTTCTACTTTCTCATTCTCAGAGTAGGTTCTCCTTCACAGGCATCTTCAGGGCCAGTGCTACTGTGTTGCCCAGGTGTGGCCCAGGGGCCACTCTCTCAAGGGCTGCCGCTAATGAGGAGCAGGGACAGCTCTCCCGCTCTTTCGACCTCAAGACCGGCTCTCCCACCTACTTCAGGCGTTGATGGGGGGGACATCTTTCCCTGCCCATGCCACCACATGACAGATAAGTAATGATAAGTAAGTAATGATAAGTAAGTAATGACAGATAAGTAAAGGCGCTCCTATGCTCACAACATTATCGTAAAAACTTTAAAAGCTAGATGTACTGGCATGGGCCTGCCATTTCAGTTACATGAGAAACTGAAGCAGGACGATCAAGACCTTAAGGCCAGCCTGGGCTACACAAAGTTCAAGGGTAGCCTGGGCAACTTAGTGAGCTCCTGGTTCAAAATTTAGGAAGTAAAAAGAGGGCCAGGGTATGGCTCAGTGGGAAAACTTGCCTAGTATACGCGAAGCCCTAGGTTTCATCTCTAGTGCCACAAAAAATAAAAATAAAATTAGATGCACGATGTTTAAACTTTGGACACAGAGAGATGACGTGGAAATAAAATCTATATCATAATTTCATCTCCCAGAGACAACTACCCAGAATTTCTGTTTTGCCACCTGCCCTTAATAGATACAGGTTGTGAACACACCTTCACAGCCCTCTGGAGACCCAAGTGTATTGTAGATGGATTTGGATGGTGCCCAGGACAGACGTGGCACCAACATGTCATGTGAACCTGGTATGCCTGCAAGCTCAGTGGTCACACTGTGTGTGCCTTAGTGATCCCTACTGCTGGCTTTGGAGTTCAGTGACTGGGACTTGACTATCTTTCAGCCTGCCCAAGCAGGAGGATGGGACTTCACTTACCATGTACAGGAGAAAAGGCCAGCTCACGAGGTGCCTGGCGATGTTCTCGCCTGTCATTTTCTCATGACTATTGGGTGCAAATGTCACTAGCAGGTAGGTGCCCACGATGGCCAAACCGCATCCAACAAAGGACAAGACATAGCGCCCTGTGGGGAATGAGGAGGAATGGTCAGGGGTTTAGGGCATGGGTCAGGTGCAAAGGGGTCCTCGGCAAGTCAGGATAGCCTTTGCCTGTGCCTTGGCTAGTTTCATGTCAATGTGACACAAACTAGAGTCATCTGAAATGAGGGACCCTCAATTGAGAAAAATGCCTCCTTAAGATCAGGTGGCAGGAAAACCTGTAGGGCATTTTCTTAATTAGTGACCGATGGGGGAGGGCCAAGTCCACTGTGGGAGGGGCCACCCCTGGGCAAGTCCTGGGTTCTATAAGAAAGCAGGCTGAGGCTGGGTGGTGGTGGTGATAGCAGCACAAACCTTTAATCCTAGCACTCGGGAGGCAGAGGCAGGTGGATCTCTGTGAGTTTGAGGCCAGCCTGGTCTACAAGAGCAAGTGCCAGGACTGGCTTTAAAGCCACAGAGAAACCCTGCCTTGGAAAACAAAAAAGAAAACACAAACAAAAAGGAAGGAAGGAAGGAAGGGAGGAAGGAAGGGAGGAAGGAAGGAAGGAAGGAAGGAAGGAAGGAAGGAAGGAAGGAAGGAAGGAAGGAAAGAAGCAAGGAGTCTGAGCAAGCCATGGGGAACAAGCCAGTAAGCAGCACTCCTCCACGGCCTCTGCATCAGCTCCTGCCTCCAGGTTCCTGCCCCGTGTGAGTTCCTGTCCTGACTTCCTTCAGTGATGAACAGTGATGCGGAAGTGTAAGTCAAATGAACCCCTTGCTCTCCAACTTGCTTTTGGTTGTGGCGTTTGATCATACCCAACAGTCTGTGACAGGCACCTGGTACTGCTTGTATTTTACTTCAAAAGAGTTTAAGGTTTATTTGAATATTTTTATGTGTATGAGTGATTTGCCTGCATGTATGTGTACTAATGAGTACCTGGTGCTTTTGGAGGTCAGAGGCATCAGGTCTCTTGGAACTGGAGTTATAGACAATTGTGGTTCACCATGTGGGTACTGGGAATTGAACCCAGGACCTCTGCAAGAACACCGAGTGCTCTTAGCCACTGAGCCATTTCTCCAGGCCCCCTCAGTGTGTGTGTGTGTGTGTGTGTGTGTGTGTGTGTGTTTAATTTATCATTTACTTACTAGATTTAATTTTCTACAAAACCTTTAAAAAACTTATTTGTACTGGTGTTTTGCCTGCATGGAGTTACAGATGGTTGTGAGCTGCCATGTGGGTGCTGAAAACCAATCCCGGGTCTTCTGCAAGAGCTGTTAATGCTCTTAACCTCTGAGGCATTTTTTCCAGCCCAGTTTTTAAAGATTTATTTATATTTATGTATATGTATGTGTATTTATGCTACCTGTATGAAATCATAGGTCTGTGACATCGTACCTGTGATGTTATTGGGGAGGGGGGTTCATCATGGTCTTCACATGTGCGTATCATGTGTTTTGTGCACATTCACTCCTTTAAATGTCATTCTAGGAATCTTAACACAACAAGGTGTGGTGGCGCACACTTTTAATCCCATCACTGGGGAGGCAGAGGCAGGCAGATCTCTGAGTTCTAGGCCAGCCTGGTCTACAGAGTGAGTTCCAGGACAGCCAGAACTACACAGAGAAACCCTGTCTCAAAAAACCAAAAATCAAACAAACAAAAATCAAAACCTTAACAAAACTCTAATGAAGTTGACATGCATATGTGCACAGGAAGTGCTAGATACATTCTCACAGTGAGCAGGGGCACAGTGCCCATGTCCCCAGAACCCAAGACAGGAAAGGAGACATCAGGAGGGCCTCAACTTCCATTCCCGGAGCTGACTACAGGGTGGCATGGCCCTGACTTTGAGCAATACTGAGGGCGTCGACTGCTTTGGTTCTTTATGGACTTGACTTGTGGGTTCCTTTGATCATTCAGCATGGTGTTTGTGAGGTCTGTCTGCATCCTGTGCCAACTGGGTTAGGCCGATCTGTAGCCTGTGTGAAAGCGACCGGAGCATCCATTGTTCTGCTGCTGAACATTTGTTTGCTGCCTGGAGTTGTGTAGATTGTGTTGCTGTGGACATTCCTGTCTGTGTACATCATTACTGGGTATAAAGTATATAGTGAAACCCTGGACCACCAGATAGGTGATGTTTGGTTTGGTAGTTACCGTGACATTGCTCTCTGAAAGTGCCTGTAACAAATTATACTCCCACCAGTAGTGTGTAAGAGCTCTATTTGTATTCTTGCTAACACTTAATGTTTTGTAGCCATTCTGGGAGTGAACTGTGTTTCTAATGTGTACTTTACAGGGAGTCCCAAACCTAGAATCCTGTTATGGGCAAGCTGGAAAGGAAACAAAACTTGTGGAATATTTGTTTAAATATTTTGAATATGGTATAAAGATTTGTCTCTGCCTAAGGTGCCTTCTGATTGGTTTAATAAAGAGCTAACTGGCCAGTAGCTAGGCAGGAGAGATAGGTGGGATTTCCAGGGATAGAGAGGAAGAGGAGGAGGAATCTAGGCGCAAAAGACACCATGGAGATGTGGAAAAAGTCGAGCACACAGAATAGGAGAGAGGTGGAAGCCAAGTGGTAGAACACAGATTAAATAAAATATGGGTCCGTTTAAGTTATAAGAGCTAGTGGAACAAGTCTAAGCTGAGGCAGAGCTTTCATAATTAATAAGAAGTTTCCATGTTGTTATTCAGGAGCTAGAGGCCCAAAGAAAAATCCGGTTACAGAAACTCCCCAAGCAGACTTCACAGCCCAACGGGCAACTTTTAAATGGATTTATCCTTTTCCAATCAGTTACTTCATCTACTTGCAAGGAACAGGCTCAGCGCTGTTGTTACCCTGCCCAGAGGCCTGCCGGGGACCAGCGTCAGGACCCAGGACAGGGCGGAGAGCAAGAGCCCGGTGCCTCTTCCCTAGCGTCCTCTCAAACTCCAGCGGGGAAGGTCCAGCAGGGAAGGCCTATCCTAGGCACCGCCAACTGTGCACGAAGAGCTCTGGTCTCCACGGCTGCTAAGCAGGGCTCACTCTACCGTTTACTCCTGCAATCCCAAGTGTGGCTGTGCATCCCCAACACTTTGGCAGTCTCCTCCCTGTAAAATCCTATTTAAAAACTTTAAACAGACAGGAAAGCTGGGAGAGTTCAGTAATGAGCACCCTACTGCCTAGACAGATGGTTCTCAACCTATGGGTCATGACCCTGGGGAAGAGTGACCCTTTCATAGGGGTCACATATCAGATATTCTGCATATCAGATATTTACATTACAATTCATAACAATAGCAAAATTACAGTTATGAAGTAGCAATGGCATTATTTTATGGTTGGGGGTCACCACAACATGAGAACTGTATTAAAGGGTTGTGGCATTAGGAAGATTGAGAACCGCTGGCCTCGACACTGAGTGGATATTTGACGGCACTTACTGAATCACGGATCTAACCGCCTCCCACCCCTTCCCTACTCCCCGGTCTCATTTCTGACCCCCACGGCCTCTCCATTCCTCACTCCCTAGTCAGTTCCATTTCTAGAGTAAGTCGTAGACATTAGTAGACTTCACTCTGGGGAACTTGACAAGAATGTCAATGCCGGAGCCACACTGCCAATCTCAGACTCTCTGGGATGGATGGCCACCATCATGTCACTCCCACACCAACTCCTTTAGCATGGCCTATAAGGCCTGACAGTGTACAGCTCTCCATGCCTCTGGTGTTTCGCCAGCCACCAATCCCCCAAACAGGAAATTTATTCCTGCCCCGGGGCATCTGCACCTGCTGCTCTCTCTGGGTGGCACACCCTGCCACATCTTCAGAGAGTCCTAGCCAGGTTGGGCACAGTGTCCCCATCTCCCTAGTCCCTCAAGTAAGAAGCATTATATTTACTCTGAAGCACTTACTGCAACCTAAAATTATTTAGTTGTTCACTTGCTTACTATGACCCTCCAGCTTACACTGTACTCACATCAGACTACAGTCTCCATGACAGCAGCACCCCCCCCCATCCTTCTACTGCCACACCCTACAACACAGTGTGACTTAGGTGGAACGCCTCTTCCCACTCTCCAGGTTTCCAATGGAGGGACCGAGATTAATGTAACACTGAAGCCCCTTCTCAGTTGATTAGAATTATCTATAAAAAATTCAACATGGGGACTTGGATCTTCTTTCTCCCTTCTGTGCTTCTTCTAAATAATGTGAGGCAATACTTCTAGGCCAATACTTTAACTCTGCAAACCCAGATGTTTCCTTGGGATGAGGGGACCTGCTAGACCAGGTCTAGCTGAACTGGGGGATCTTTTGGAGGACTGTGAGCAGGTTCACTGGGCTGCAAACTCAAATTTAGCCTTTATTCATAGTGAAGCAGTTTCTGGTCTCCTGTCTCCTAGGTTTGACTCCCGTGGCTTTAAAACTCAGTCAGGGAAGGTGTGTTTTCACAAATCCCAACTACAGAGGCTCAACTGGTACTGACTGAGGGAATGAAGGAAGGCTAATCTTCAACAGGCCAATTCTGATGCGTAGCCAGGCTTGGGGCACTTAACATTCACTCCCAGGAACAAGGAACCCAAAGGGGAGTGGGAGGTGGAGGAGCTGCCGTGGGGGCGGGCTGGCTCCATCTGAGACTTACTCACAAAATCCTTAGGTTTCCATTTTTCTTTGATGAATATGATTCCGATGATGGCGCTCGCTGGAAAAAGCCAAGCACAGAGAAGAGGGGTGAGGTTGCTGCCAGGCAGAGGGGTGGCTCACCCACCCACACCCTCTGGGTGGCTCATTTGCAGGGAGCCTCTTGCAGGTGTCCCCAAGAGATCTTCAGGGTTTGGTCTCTTTCAGCCTCAGCCACTCACATCTGGGAGAGGAGACCTTCCAGAGCCTTCTGTGTGATTCTGGGGCCTTAGTGTCCACTGTGCAGGGGGAAATTACACGTGTGGTTTTTGGATGCTTAACCTTAGAGGTGGGTGCTACGGTTAGTCTCATTTGGTAACTCAGAACTGGAGCTTTTCTTCTATTGTACCCTACCTCCCCACGAAGCTTGTCCCTCCCTGACCATCACAGGGTCACAGCTTTACTTAAAACTCCTGAGACCGACCCAATGGACAGGGCTGGAAGCCACCATGAATGACTCCATTACTAGCCAGCTCTGCCTCTCCTGGTTGTGTGACCCAGGGGAGGTTACTTCCCGAGTGATAGTCTCTTACTCTGTGAGATGGTGTTCTGGGTCGGGCTGCACCACCTTGCTGTCATATATTCGGGTGGCGGCCACAGGTGGCTTGAATATGGCCACAGAAACGCAGATCCACTCATACAACACAGCTCAGCACTCTGAGGGGGGCCCTTCTCTCCCGTCTCAGTGATCGCTCCTCTCCTCACCTCCCCATCTCAGGATCACTCCACAAACCCCACTGAAAACTACTACTTCTTTAGTTGTAGGGCAATTAAATAGGATTCTATATGCAAATTATCCAGCATACAGTAAATGCTCATAATAAAAACGGTTGTTACTGAAGTACTTGGAACAGCAACGGAAAAGCCATAAGTAGCCAATGGATGAGTGGTTAGTATATCAAATATATTTCTCATAGAGTGACCCTGGAGGCTCAAAGAGTTTCTTAACCTTCATGTCTGACCCCCCAAATCTTTTTTTAATTATTTATTATGTATACAGTGTTCTGCTACCTGTATGCCTGCATGCCCAAAGAGGGCGGGCGGCACCAGATCTCATTGTAGATGGTTGTGAGCCACAATGTGGTTGCTGGGAATTGAACTCAGGTCCTCTGGAAGAGCAGCCAGTGCTCTTAACCTCTGAGCCATCTCTCCCAAATCTTATCACAATTCATCCTACTTATTTATTTATTATGGCACTGGACATCAAAACCAGGGCATGGTACCAACCAGGCCATCCTTCTACACCCCCAGCTCTCAGCCTCTAAGTTTGATGTTAGTTACTTATTCAAAATCAAAGACTAATATTTACAGTGTTGGTCCCTCATCCCACTGTGAATGAAGGTTCCAAGAGGTCTTTAGAGACCCCAGAGTTTGACGGAACAGAGACAAGGACATAAATCTAACTATCAGTGGGGCTCAATGGTGGCCTGAATGCAGGAAGCAATCCAGAAGACCACAGGGGAAGATGGAGACAGCCAAAGAACTTGCCTTAACCAGAGACATTCAAACCTCCTTAGAAAAAAACACCAGGAAAAGAAAAAATACTGATCTGACCTCGTAGCTAAGCAGCAAGCACTTGCCCAGAACGCACAGGGCCTGGGTTTTATCCCCAACACTTAAGAGAAAAGATAGAGGATGGGAAAATCTCAGCACTGCTTCTGCAGACTGCCAGGTCACCAGCCCTGCGCAACAGAGCAAGGTTCTTCTAGACCAATTCGGAAATCCAATCAAGCTTCCCATTTTCCAATTGCTTATAATTGGTAGTGGCTGCCTGCAGAGCAAAGAATTCTAAGGTTTAACCAGATTGGCTGGAAGGAAAGTTATAATTAATAATGTCTGCCCCGAGCCCAGGAGGGACACAGTTACCACATATGTGTCAGGCACAGGCCCTCTCTTCGGTAAAGAGGACCTTTGAATTCAAGGAGAAGTAAGATGCAAAGATTTGCCGTTTCCCTGAGAGTAGGGGAGAGCCAGGCAGAGTGGTGATAGCAAAATGGAAAGAAAGACTCAAGATGAGTCCATTGTTCCAGCTCCTGGGCACAGGAGGTGACTATTCACTCAACTACTTATCTCTGTTAGAATTGGATTTTATCTGTGACCTTGGGACATTGAAGTTCTTTCATCTTTGGTTGGTTCAGGTGCTCTGATGTGGAAAGGTGACTGGATGGGATGACAGGGAAAGATCCGAGCACAAGTGAGTATTTCTCAGAGGTGCAAGACGGTGAACGGATGAAAGTTTTCTATGCCTTGTTAGTGTGAAGATGTTCGGATCAAGGCTTAACTTCATTTTGAAGTGGCCATAAAAGCAATTCTAAAAAAAAAAAAAATGTTCTGAATCTTTAAACATGGTCAAGCTGACACTCCACTAGACCCTGGCTAGTATCCCTGCCTGCCCCTGGCTGTGTGACATGTGCCTTACTTCATGTATCTGTAAAATGGGTGCTACTAGTCTCTACCTGGAAAGGTAGGAAGAAGGACGTCCCAAAGAGTGCTCAGAGCTGGGCCTGTGAGTGACACGGATGCCAGATGCTATTGCCATGGCAAGGGTTTTTTTTTTTTTTTAATTGGCATTTATTTTTTTAAATATATTTTAAATTAAAATATCATCACATCACTTTCCCTCTTCCCTTTCCTCCCCAAACCATTTCCTGCTTCACTCCCTCTCAAACTGATGGCCACAAGAGTGTTATTTTTTTGTTTTTAATCTTTATTGTTTTGTGTATGGGTGTCTGACCAGCACATAGGTCAGTGTATCACATGCATGCAGGGTCTGAAGAGGTCAGAAGAGGGGCACTGGATCCCCAGAGACTGGGGCTACAGACCATTGTGAGCTCCCATGTGGATGCTAGGAACCGAACCTGGGCCCATCAGTGCTCCTAACTATGGAGTCACTTCTCCAGCCGTCAAGAATAGTTTTTTATTTTGATTTGATTTTTTGAGGCAGGGTCTCTCTACATAGCTCTGGCTGTCCAGGAACTCACTAGGCAGACCAGACTGGCCTTGAACTTGCAGAGCTCTACCTGCTTCTGCCTCCCAAGTGTTGGGATGAAAGATGTGCACCACCATGCCTGGCCCCAAGAGTGATGTGTATAGAGTGTGTTTGTGTGTGTGTGTGTGTGTGTGTGTGTGTGTGTGTGTGTGTTTGCTTACATGAGTGCTCTGGGCCTTGTGGTGGCACTTGGGTCCCACAGACCATGGTTCCTGTGTAAAGAGCAGGCTGGGACTTACCTATCACAGAGACGGCACCGAGCGGCACGATGAGACACAGTGGGGCGAAGGCATAGGATGCGAACACGCCCAGTTCGCCCAGCAGCAGCAAGAGCAGTCCCAGCCACCATGTCTTGGTCTTAAAGTAGGCCCGGGGGTCCTTGGTGCCTGCCAGGCGGATATGGCAGTATTTCTAGAAGTCCAAGAAGGAACAAAATTTGACCAGATGTATGGAGAGAAAAAATGAAAGGCTCTGATGAAGGAATTCAAGCTGACATTCCACTTTTAAAAACCATCCATGGGGGCCTGAGTTGGGTTTAGAGGACATGTGGGTGGGACCTGGAAATGGGCATTTCTTTGTGTGTGTGTGGGTGGGGGGGGCAGAGAAAACAATCTTTCCCCATGGTTTTTTAGACAGAATGACTTAGTGGCCTGAGCTTGACCAGTAGGCTGGCTTGCCAGTGAGCCCTGTGACTCGCCTGTCTGCCACCCTAGCACTGTGTACCACCCACAACTGTCTGTCTTTACATAGGTTCTGGGGACTGAACTCAGGTCCTCAAGCCTGCAAGGCAAGGACTTTACCCACTAGGCTATCGCTCCAGCCCCTCTCTTTTCTTGAGACACTGTTTCATGTCTCCCAAGCTGGTCTTGAAATTTCAATCCTCAGGGCTGGACAGATAGCTCAGTGGTTAAGAGCCTTCTTCTTCTTCTTCTTCTTCTTCTTCTTCTTCTTCTTCTTCTTCTTCTTCTTCTTCTTCTTCTTCTTCTTCTTCTTCTAAGATTTACTTATTTATTACATATACAGTGTTCTGCCTATGTACCAGACAGAGGAGGGCACCAGACTGAATTGTAGATGGTTGTGAGCCACCATGTGGTTGCTGGGAATTGAACTCAGGACCCCTGGAAGAGCAGTCAGTGCTCTTAACCTCTGAGCCAGCTCTCCAGCCCCGAGCACATGTTGTTCTTATAGAGAACCTGGTTTAGTTCCTAGCACCCATATTGTGGCTCACAACATCTGTAATTCCAGTTCCAGGGGACCTAATCCCCTCTTCTGACATCCACAGGCACCAGACGCACACATGGTACACAGACATACAGACAGACAAAACATTCACATGCATAAAAATAAAAGAAAGGAAGGAAGGAAGAAAGGAAACTGAAATCTTCCTGCCCCACCTCTTGAATTCGGGGATAACAGGTATGTGCCACTGTGCCCAGGACTCAGGGTCTTGGAGAACCTCTGAGAAATCTAACAGAGGACATTTACCCACTAACTCCTGTTGTGGCCACCAGCATGGGAACACTCTTGTCTCTTAGGACATATGCACAAGTTCCTTGGGACCTCAGGGGAAGTTCCTCAAGCTGCCAGCCTGCTTCATAGCACAGCTGTGGCCACCACCAGGACAGGCACTGTGGGTGCTTTATGGCAAATGCTGCAGCTCCCGTCCCTGAGACTTGAGACATTGACAATACTGGAATCAGAGCTGAAGGTGATGGTACCACAATGACCCTGGCAGCTGGAGGCATGGGCAGTGTGAGACAAGACCTGGGCCTGTGGTTAAAATGTCACTCCACTGCTAGAGCACTGTTAAGAGAAGCGTGTGCTGTACAAGCATGAGTTTGGATCCCTACCATCCACATAAGAAGTCAAGTGTAGCAGTGGCTGCCTGTCATCCTAGCACTGGAGAGAAAGAAACAGGAAGTGATTTGCTGGCCAGCTAGTCTTGCTATCATTTGGCTCCAGGTTCAATGAAAGACCTTGTCTCAAAAAAAAAAAAAAAAAAAAGGTGGGTTTGGAGAGACCACTCAGCCATTAAGGGTAGTGTGGCTCTGCCGGAGTGCCCAAGGTAGGGCCTCAGCACCCACTTCAGGCACCACCAATAACTGCAGCTCCAGGGGAACCTGACACCTCTGGACTCTGTAGGCATCTGTACTTGTGTGCACACACCCACTGCTAACACATAACTCAAAGTAACCAAGCCTTGAAAAATAAATAAGTTACCCACCATTGATCTCTGGCTTCTACGGAGGTGTGCCCACCTGCCCACACGTGTGCACACACATATTTACCACATGCACACATAAAAAAAACTGGAGGTTCTGACCTATAGGAGCCTGGCCAGTGTGGGGAGGGGAAGTAGGACTAAGACTGTAGAGGTTCAGGCAACAGACAGGGTCCCCCCCAGAGAGCAGACAGCAGACCTGGTTCACCTGCGCTGCTCCTCTGCCTGGGACAAGCGCTGGCACCTGAGACTCACCTGCAGGTTAAGGGCGATGCTGACCACAAGGTGCCCAAAAATCGCCAAGAGAGCGCCAATCAAGTTTTCCTGGAAGGAAGGGTCACAGAGCAGATGTGAGTGGTCCCAGGACATATGTGGTATCTACCAGTCTGCTCCCAAACAAAACCAGAACAAGGCCCACACTCCCCTCCCTCCAGACCCAAGGTTGGAATCTTACCACCTGGGCACCACCCAGCTCCTTAGAGAACCACAGGGCATTGTTCTGAGTTGGAAACATGCAGAAAACACTATCTTTGGTTGTCCTCATCTTGATGAGCTAAACCTGCCCCTCTGGCCTCTGGGATGCACTGATCTGCCACCATCTTGCACAGAAAGGCAATGTGTGGAAACCAGTGTGGATGAGAGAAATGCAGGCTTGGGCTTCTACCATTGCCATCTTGCCAGCAAGAACCTCCCAACTAGCCAGCTTCAGTGGGGGATTTTCCAGTTAGTTAATCAACACAAACCTTGTTTATATCATCCTAGCCATGAGATTCAGGTTCCTTCACATGATTTTTTTAAATGGAAAAATTACTGGACATATATTTATGATATGATCATTAGGAAATACAGGTGATAAAAATGACAGTTAAGAGCAGGGTGTGGTGGCCACACCTGTCATCCCAGCACTCAGTAGGTAGAGGCAGGAGGATCAAGAGTTCAGGGTCATCCTTTTGAGATGTTATCTCAAAAACCAAAGACCGTGGGGCTGGAGAGATGGCTCCATGCAGTTAAGAGTTCATGTTGTTCTCAGAGCTCACGTTCCAGCATCCATGTGAGGCAGCTCACAATTGCCTGTAGCTCCAGTTCCTGGAGCTCTGAAGCCCCCACCCCTCCCTCTACTCCATCCCCCAGCACAGCACTGACATACATAACACACTGTGAACATACTTTTGGGCCAGGCACATTGCATCCATCATTTTTAAAAGGTCAGCAGGTACCACACCACCTAAGCTATAGCCCCAGCACCAGATGGCCATTTTAAATTTTATTTATGTGTATGTACTTGAATGTTTTGCCAGAATGCATGTATGTGCACCATAGGCATGCCTAGTGTCTGTATAGGCCAGAGAGGGACATAAGTCATCATGCAGGTGCTGGGAACCGAACCCAGGTCCTCTGCAAGAGTAGCAAGTGTTCTTAATTGCTGATCCATCTCCCAGTCCCCTTGTCTGACTATTTTTGACAAAGAAATATAGTAGTTTCATATGGTTCAACTTGTAACTGAGCCACTATTACTTTCACACAGAGACCATGCTGTCCTTTGATGGTGAGTTAACTAAAAAAACGAGGCCATGAGAAAAGGTGCTGTTTGTACCGAGGGGAAGTTAAGAGCTAAAGGAGGGGAAAGCCTCCTGCCACACAGACAAGTCAGCACCTCTTCAGGGAAGGCTGATGAAAAGGAATGGAGAAGTGAAAACTAGAAAACCCACAACCTTTCACAGTGAAGGGTTCCATGGTCAAGGCTGGCATTCACAGAGTGCTCACAAGTGAAGGCTGAGGCCCTCTCTAGACATTCCCTTTGGGCCACATACAACCCTCAGAGAACTGGGGATGGGGGATGGATACACCTATGATCTCAGCACTGGGGTAAGTGGGCCATCCTTGGTTACACAGTGAGTTCGAGACAAGCCTGGGCTACATAACAAGATCTTGTCCTAAATAAATAAATATTAAAAAATTCAAAACCCATGGGGCTGGAGAGAGGGCTCAGAGGTTCAGGTCCTCTTGCAGAGGACCCAAGGTTTGATTTCCAGCACCCACAAAGTAGCTCACAAATTTATAACTCATTCCAGGGATTCCCCAAGACCTCTTCTGATCTTTGAGGACTCCTAAGTACACATGGTGCACATATATACAAACAGCCAGCCAGCTAGCCAGCCACACCCCAAAATAAATAAAAAACGAAACAAAACCCCAAAGCAAACTAAACCGAACCAAAACCCCAAAACAGCCCTAAGAGGTAGTGTTTCACTTCAATCTCTTCTCAGCTCCAGAGCTGGAAGCTCACAGATGAATAAAGTAAATCTTGGAGAGGTGATACAAACCTGACCAGGGTGTAGACAGAAGGGTCTGGGATCGGAAGCATGACCTCTGACCTCATGATAAGAATGCAGGGCCCCACATGGTCTCCAGGGTGTTCTCTTGAGTTTATTCAGAAGGTGAGAAGGAACTCAGGGGGGGTGGGGCACTGTGTAAGTACTCCTCCACTCGGGTGCTGACGCAGGCAGCTGAGTTTGCTCAGCAAAGCCATTGCGCGGCACATTAATCTTAACGTTTAATAGCCGGTTACAGACAGACACAGTGAGTAACACCAGACATCACTCATGCCCTCGGATCGGAGTGTCTCCAAGGGCCTCATCAGCGCTAATTATGCCCCCGAACCCTTGTGAAGTGGTGCATGGTCTAGTTTTATGAACATTTAAAGTCACGGACAGCTGCCACCGCCCAGGGGTTACACAGTTTGAACACACATTCACCGGCTGCCCTCGGGGCTTGGCAGGAGGCATTCAGAGCCAAGAAGGATCCTGCCTGAAGTTCCTCCTGCAACCTCAGAGCTTCAAGACAGGACTCTAGTTCTGGAGGCATGGCCAATGGCTTCCTCACTGGACCCCCAGCAGCTCCCTCAGTAGATGAAGAGTCATCCTTGGTCCTTGTGGGGTCTATTTACAGTGAGAAGCATCACGAGTATGACTAACACACTCTTAGGAACTTGGAATACAGACGTGGCCCTTAAGGTGCAAATGGGAACAAGTAGCTCCCAGCTGAGGGACATGTGGTCCACACTGCCTGGCGGAGACTCAGGCTACAGCTTCTCCTGGGCCGTGTGTCCTGAGAACCCATCACCTCAGAGGGGTGAGAAGTTTGAGGCCACTTCTCATCCAGTCCTCACCAGTCTCCCAGCTTTCCAGCAGACAGTGGAGGTGATAGCATAAGTAGGCAAATGCTACCAGGTACCGCTTCTCACAGAGACATCACCTGAGTAGGCACCAGACCAGGCCAGAGGGGCAGATCATACCCAGGCATGGCCAGCAGAGCCCAGCTCAAGCCAGGACACTTTGCCCCCCTTTAATTTCTGGGTGAGAAGTAGCAATGGGCCTTATGTTTAGGATAACCATATATTGATTACCTAAATGGAGACACCTGCAGAATGAAAGGGCACCACTCATGTGGCATAAGCCAGAAGTCCTGATCATCTACTCAGTGAGACCTCTGGGCCAAAGTGTCCTCAAAGTGAAACTTGGGAAGGTAGCATTGGACAGGGGTGGTGCGATTTCAGACTGCTTCCTGTCATGGCTGCAAGCTCCCTGCAACCTCAGCACCAGGGAGACAGTGGAGAGACCAAAGGCACCTCTGTCTGGATTCAGGAAAGCAGATCTGAGTGGGGTCCTGCCTCTGCTACTTCCTTGCTGTGTGACTTTGGGGGGATGATCTCAAGTCTCTGGGCCTCAGTCTTCAGATTTTAAAACAAAAGTTGATTATAACCCCCCCTCCCAATCCCCATGATGATGGGGACACAAAAGGGAGCTGAAGCATCCCACAATGTAGTAAGTCCTAAAATGATCCCGGCAGCTGCTGTAGTTTGTTGTCTTCATGTCTTTTTATTTTCTTTAAAGACAGTGCTTCCTGTAGCCCAGGCTGGCCTCAAACTTATCATGTAGCTGAGGATGACCTTGAATCTCTGGCCCTCCTGCCTGTGCTCCTGAGTGTGCCGCCAAGTCTGCTCCTATGGCTCACCTCTACCATCGTTCTTTTTGTCTGTTTGCTGGTTTGTTGTTTTGTTTTATTGAGACAGGGTTTCTCTATGTAAACTCTGGTTGTCTTGGAACTTGCTCCATAGACTAGACTGGTCTCAAACTCACAAAGATCCAGCTGCCTCTGCCTCCTGAGTGCTGGGATTAAAGCTCTCCTGTGCCCACCTCTCGATGCCAGTTGCACCACAGTGCTGGGCTGTCGAGGGCCAGTACCAGCTCTACCACAGGTGCGGGGCCCAGAAGCTGATATTTTCTAATCCAAATGGATTTTTGTTTGTTTGTTTGTTTTGTTTTGTTTATCTTCTGTGACTCTGAAAGAGAGTGAAGTGTTTCCAGGAAGGCAACTGCAGGCGAGAGACAATCCCTGTTTGTGGATATTGGCATCCAAGTAAGTCAGCTCACGTGCCGTTGCCTAGGTCCCCCTCAGGTCTGCTCCCACCAGACTCCACCTAAATATCACCACCATCACTTGGGGGTTGAACTGATCTCCCACAACGCTTGGGGCTCTGAGCTGTAAACAGGTAAGCTGTGTCCTGGCAGGCTTTGGGTGGCGGGCATTCCAAAGAATGCACTCCAATGAACCAGCTTCTGCCACACCTGCAACTTGGCTTCAGGCCACTTCCCTGACACTGTCTTTGCCTGCCTTGTGATGGCAGCCATCCCCACACTCATCACCAGTGGTAGGAACAGAAGGAGCCTAGCCGAGTGCCTGGCATGATATAGTACAAAATGGTGGCCAGGACCCTGGACCCCGGTGATGAGTAGATTTTGAATTCCAGCTTTACTGACTATATTTACTGTGTGACCTCAGGCAAGTTAATAGACTTCTCTGTGCCAGTTTCCTTACATGTGAGATGAAGTTAACAGACTACTTCCTGGGGCTTTCAGGAGGATTAGCACAGTCCTTGCTACACAGTCAACACTCAACACTAGCTGCTATTACGATGCTTACGGCATCACAATATGGACTATGGACAAAGGACCTGTATTTCCCATTGGGAAGTGCTGGAACATGTCATAAAGGAATTGGGTGGATTGCAGGGTTTCCCACGCAGAAAGGCACGACTCATGCAGCTTGGGGTTCCTCATTCTGGGCATTCCAGCAGCATCTCCTAATGACCTTTTAGGGTGGGTACTGGCCTCACCTGCAGGTCTGTGACTTTCCTAGGTTTTAATTCAGGATATATCAAAGTTAGGGCTTGAAGCCAGCCTGTCAGAGTCCAAGGTTTCAGCACTCTGCTCTGCCATCTCTCTTCCTCCCTCTTTCCTTTTTCTTGGGGGGGGGGTCCTGAATCTCAGTATGTAGCCCAGGCTGGCCTCACACTCACAGAAATCCACCTGCCTCTGCCTCCCAAGGCCCAGCACCACATTTTTTCTTAATGGCAGGTCCTTGTGGAGACCTGTCTTCCCCATTTCTCTCCTGGACTCCAGGGAAGATGCAGCTTACCCATCCACACAGCTGCCCAGGCTGACAGCCTGACCCACCTGAGGCTGTTTTATAAACGGCAGCCTCCGGGATTCTAGCCCAGGTTTGCTAAACCCAGATTTGCAAGGGGAGAACAAAGGGGAGAAGGTGCAGGCAAAGAGGTGTGTTCAAGGCTGAGACAGAGCTCTCCAGGTATGTCTGGTAATCAGCCAGGTGGGAGGACCATCACAAACTCTACCCCTTCATTTGATATAGAGAGAAACTGAGGCACCGAAAGAGAGGGCCCGACTTGTCTGAGATCAAAAGTGACGATGAAGCTGAGCTGGGCTCCAGGTCTCCCGATCTTCACTGTGGCTGTTCTGCCCATCACCCACCCCTCCTCCACGGTAGTGGCCATGAGGTGGCTAGAAATGACAGGCTTCCATGGAAAGATCAGAGAGCAAGAAAATTATGCTTGGAAATAGACCCAACTCTGCATGGGAGCTACCTAGGTGGGGCGGAATCATTGAGAAATGTCAGGGTCAGAGTCCTTGCTCTCTCTACAGTGAGCCCAGTTTCAGGCAGACTTTCAGGACTCCCATACATGTGTATCCAGCCTCCCTTGTGGGATGGATTTAACATGAAAATAGCCCTTTTATTCTCCCCCTAGCACCTGCCTTGGCCTACAGGGTGACAGGGGTACTCAGGAGTATGTCGAAGCAGAGAGGGCTGAGAAGCCACGACGCCAGTGAGGTGGTTAAGAGCATGGTACCACATAACCTCATGCTTCAGTTTCCTTATTGCCAAAGTGGGAGATGAAAATGCTGTTAGCTGCCATCAAAAAGCTAGCCATCAAACGTGGGTCATTATTCCAAGCTTCACGTGGCCACATTCATTTTCTCCTCCTAATGGCCAGGAGGCAGGTGTTACTGCCACCCCACTCTACAGATGAGGGAAAATGTATGCACTTTTAGTGCTGCTGACAAGATTGCCTGGGAAAATACATGCGAAGGACTCAGCACAGCACTGAGCAGAACAAAAGCTCAACACTCGTGACTTGTCGAGATTCTTATCACAGAGCTAAAAATAAGTCGTAGTTTTTCCTATCAGTGTGCCACATGATCTCAAGTATGGCATTTCCCACCATTTGGCTCCATTTCCCCCAATCCATAAAAACAATCCATCAGAGTGTTTGATGACCTTAAGCCTCCTTCAGCCCAGGGTGCTATCAGTCTCAACTGTGAGGGCTACCTTAAAGAAAATTATTTATTTAATTTTATGTGTATGTGCGTGCCCTGGAGTGTCTGTATGTGCACCACATGTATGCAGTGCTTGGGGAAGGTCAGAAGAGGAACGGGCTCCCCTGGATCTGCCATGTGGATACCAGGAACTAAACCTGAGTCCTCTGCAAGAGCAGTCAGCATTCTTAACCACTGAGCCATCTCTCCAGCCCCTCCCATGTGATGGTTCTTCCCATGTGATGGGAAGAAAGTCTCAGTGGAGGACTGTCTAGATCTGGCTGGCCAGTTGGCATGTGTAGAGACTGTCTTATGTTAACTGACGTGCGAGGAACCGCCCACTGTGGGCGGCACCATTCCCTGGATCTGGGTCCTGGAGAATGGGAGAAAGTGAGCTGAGCACTAGCATTTATGCATTCTCTGCTTTCTGATCCTGATCATGGATGTCACATGACCAGCTCCCTGAAGCTCCTGCCACTGTGACTTCTCTGCTATGACAGGCTGTGACCTGGAATTATGAGCTTCTTCCCGAAGTTCTATCACAGTGAGAGGAAATGAAACTAAGACACCAACAATTCAGAAAACAAAAACAAAAAAAATCCCAAGTTTTAAAAATGATCCCAGTCTCTATATGCTTCGTTAGGAACACCAAAGTTTGACACTAAAACCTTTTCCCTATTCCTAGGAAACAATCTAAAACACACCCAAGGAAATAATCTGAGATGCACACCAGGGTCGGCATTCAGTCATGTTCACAGTTCACATCATCCCACATGCTAATCAACCACAGGGAAGCCGTCATGCAAATTCTCCTACAGCAGCTCAACTGGTGATCAGGCAGTCATTCTGGAAGTGTGCTTTGGGAGAAGTATTCCACTGTCAGTGCCGTGGGGAAGCAGTCCACCAGTAAAGGGGAAAAGTAACAACCAGGATCCGAAACCTTCACAACAATGGGGCACCAGATCTTAAAATACTAGAAAAAGACACGGTAGATTGAGATAGAGAAGCTCTCCAACTAAAACCCAAATCTTCTGGACTGGAGAGATGGCTCAGTGGTTAAGAGCACACACTGGTCTTCTATAGGACCTGGGTTTGGTTCCCAGCAGCCACATGCTGGCTCACGACCATCTGTAACTCCAGATCCAGAGGAAACACCATTTCTGATCCCCTCAGGCACGGTGCACAGACATACACATAAAACAAATATTAAAAAATAAATAAACAAACAAACCTCCTAACTGGAAGCATATCTCTTTTTAATTCTGTATTTAAAATATGTCTCTACCTGTCTATTTTTTTCAACATTTGTATTCTTTTTTCTTTTTTGGTTTTTCGAGATAGGGCTTCTCTGTGCAGCTCTGGAGCCTGTCCTGGCACTTGCTCTGTAGACCAGGCTGGCCTTGAACTCACAGAGATCCGCCTGCCTCTGTCTCCAGAATGCTGGGATTAAAGGCGTGCGCCACCAACGCCCGGCAACATTTGTATTTATTTTATGAATGTTATTTTTTTGTGTGTGTGTGTGTGTGTGTGTGTGTGTGTGTGTGTGTGTGTGTGTGTGATGTATTTGCATGTGTGTGCAGGTGCAGGGGTGTGTGGAGGTCAGAGGTCAGCCTTTGGAGTTCTCATCACTTGCTCTTCAACTCATTGTTTGCTGTCCATCTTATTGAAGCCAGGTTTTTTGCTTGAGCACAGAGCTGGCTGACCTGGTCAGTCTAGCTAGCCAGCTTGCTCCAGGGAGTCTCCTCTTCCTGTGTGCTGGGGTTATAGGCAGCCTGCCAAAATTGCTTGGCATTTACATGGGTGCTGTGGATCCAAACTCTGGTCCTCACCCTTGACCAGTAGAGCACTCCCCTGCCTGAGCCATCACTCCAGCCCTATTTTTATCTCTTTGAACAAGCACTTCTTTTCTTTGGATTCCATGCTGTGCTGTAGGTGTGGAGGACCTGCCTGTCTCTGCTATCGGTCAGCATACAGACCCTGGGCACACCTGTGACACCATTCAGCCTCTGTGTGCCTCTGGTTAGAAACCCACAAAATTCCCAAAGGAAAGTGAACGCTTGCCTTGTAGGAGAAGGAGCCATCGCTGCTGCTCAGGCTCATGGAGCTGCTGGTGGGCGGGAGTGGCTGCAGCTGCAGGCCTGCGCTGTGGGCCCCATCCATGGCTGTCTAGTGGCACATCCTGCCTGGCCTGGCTGGGAGCTGGGGCTGCTGCTAGGCAGGGTGCAAACTGGGAGCCATCGCTCCCTGTGTTCACCTCCTTCCAGCAGCCTCCTGGGTCTCTTCCTCAGCAAGATGAGTTCTCTGGACTCTCTTGGTTGATTTACAGCCTTCTCCTCAGGTTCCCGGAGAGAAAGGCAGCTCGTATGTCTCTCCCAAGCACAAGGGCAAGGGCGTGTCTTCTGACTCTGGCCAAGCGCTGCGTGGTGGAGAAGGACATGAAAAATTCATGTACATGAGACCTAGCACCAACTTCATTGTGTGAGAAAGCTCTTCATACAAAGCATGGCTGGCCAAGCAAAAGGGGGCCGTGAAGGCACGGTTATCCAGCCTCTGACCCCTGAATAAAGAGCTCTTCCTTAAAATGCTTTATCCTTGTCCTTTAGACATCCCATTTCCTCCCCCCCTCCTATTACATCCTAATTTAAACCCTCCTTTCCTCCATAAGCTCGAGGACAAGATAAAAGACCACCAAATCCACTTCTCCAGGTCTCCAAAATCAACAAGTAGATCCCATGAACATAAAATAGGAACCATCATGGGTATAGCAGCAATTGCTCAAAATCCCAGCACTCAGGGCAGGCTGAGGCTGATCCATGGGATAGCCTGGGCTATATAATGAGGTCTTTCCTTAGAGCAAACCAAACCAACAATATAAACCAAATCCAAACCAAACCCAAATTACGGGGTTTTCAATTTAGGAAGGAAAGAATGTGAAGAAAATCCTGGTATAGTGTGAGGGACACTGTATTGGGAGGCTGGACCAGACACCCATGTCACTTTGGCTCTGAGTGACTCAGCATCTTATCTGTAAGGTGTAGACAGTCATGCTGCTTCAAGTAGGAGCAGGGATGACAATCACCCTATTAATGTCATTGGACTAGTGTTTTCAGCGTTTCTCAGACTTCTCCCAAACTCAGAAGAGAATATCTGTACCAAGACCTACCACCATAGCAAAGGTTCTGTGAATCTTCTTACGCTTAAAAAAAAAAAAAACCCACCCAAAGCACCAACCAAAACCATAAAATTTAGATTTAGATTTTATTGCATAATCTGGGTGTTGTATTTTATGTTATAATCATTTATTATGTGTGTGTGTGTGTGTGTGTGTGTGTGTGTGTGTGTGTGTGCCATCATGTGCCTGTAGAGGCTGTAGGAGGAGTCAGTTCTCTCCTCCCACGGTGGGTTTCAGGGATCGAATTCAGGCTGCCCGGCCTGGCTACTCAGCTTTTGAGTCAGTTTCCTTAGCCACAAAATATGGCTCATAATGTTTCTATTCCATGGGCTGTAGTAAGAATCTGATGAAATACGGCATATAAAGGTGAACAAGGTAGATGGCTGGCAAGTGCCAAACACCACTTGCATTACTTTATTTAGCTTTTCTTTTCTAACATTCTTCATTGTGTGTGTGTGTGTGTGTGTATGTGTGTGTGTGTGTGTGTGTGTGTGTGTATGCTTACATGCATGAATGACATAGGACACACGTGGAAGTCAGAAGACAACTTTGCAGAGTCAGTTCTTTCCATCCTGGGGACTGAACTCAACTCATCAAGCTTAGCGGCAAGTGCCCTGGCCCACTACGACACTAAGGTCCACTCCCCAATTTAATCATGTAGTTTATCCATATATATAATTACACATTCCTTTCTCCCAAGCATGCACCCAAGAAAGAGTCAATGGCTCAGAGTGTGCTAAACAGCCTCTGCCAAGGCCCAGGCTTCAAAACACTGCATCCCATAGTTGCTAGTTCTTTCTACCCCATGTTCCACACCTAGGAATGTCAGTGTAATGCACTGAATTCACAAGATGACATCATGCCTAGCACCTCGGAGATGCCAAATGCAGGCTTAGTACAGGTCAGCCACAAAGACCTGCACCTTGTCAAAGGGCCTAAAGTTAAATTATTGCTGCTGTGTTCACTTGAGACAGTATTCATCCCCAAGACCCCCCTCATGTGGTAACTCATGGAGTCACATGTTTCTTACTTGTAAGGTCCGATGAATATAGGATTGTCTAATGACTGGGAGGGCATAATTACTCTTCCTTGGATTGCATGTGTGTGAAAGCAATGCTGTGTTAAACGTCTGTATCTCTGTCTTGGCATCATTAATATGAGGGTGGTCTAGGGCTCTTTCTACCTGGGAGAGACCTAGGGCTGCATCCAGTCCTAGAGTTGAAGGGGCCCTGGATAGAAGGCAACTAAGTCTCTGCTTCCTCTAGAGACCTAGCTCAGAGCCTGGAAAGGTGACTTGCATATACACCCAATCCTGACTAAATGTAGAGCCCCTGGTATACTGTGGCAAAAAAAAAAAAAGCCTATTCAGGACTCATAACCACAAACAGATATAACCAGCCCCACCCACAGGATGTCAGAGAAAGCAAACAGGCCTTGGGGACCAGCTAGGAAGGACAGCAGGAATTCAGGCCTTCTAACCTTCTCCAGGCCTTCTGGCTCTCTGTGTCTCTGTCTCTGTCTCTGTGTCTCTGTCTCTCTCTGTGTCTCTGTGTCTCTGTCTCTGTCTCTCTCTCTCTCTCTCTCTCTCTCTCTCTCTGTGTGTGTGTGTGTGTGTTTTGAGTCCATTGGCTTTTAAACAGCAGCTTCAGCTTCCCTCTCTACCTGGGGAACCCACAGGTCTCTGAATACAGGAAGACAGAGAGAGGAAGGTCCTCACTGGCTTTGCATATAGTCACCCAAAAGCCTCTGTGGACTCTGCAAGTTGCACTCCCTTATAAGGCTCACACTTTGGCCTGGTGACGGTTTAGTGTTGGTTTCAAAGCACTTGTCCAGTACTGACATATGTCCAAGAGGCACACAGCCAACTCAGTGTTGACTGTCACAGTCACAGCTCATGGTCACTGACCCAAGAAAGGAAAGGGAATTCACAAAGTGCCTGCTTCCACTTCAATCCCTTGGCCTCATCTAAATGAACTACTCCATTAATCTGTAAGTTTTTCAGAGAGAAAAACTGAGCCTCACAGCCAGGAAAAATAGTCGATTTAGAAATTAGCAGTAACCAAAAACAAGGGTGTGTGTGTGTGTGTGTGTGTGTGTGTGTGTGTGTGGTGTGCGTGCGTGCACGCAGGGAGGTCTTGTCACCACCTGACGATTTAGTATGACTAGAGAATATTGGTTTCATACCAAGCTTTCCCTTCCCCGGGCTTTTGAGTACCGAAGGGTGTCAATCTCGGGTCCTTTCCCATTGAGCTGGACATTCCAGTGCACGGAAGACACACCTCTGTTCCTGTACCAAGCACAGGGCTACGTCCATCCATCTGTGAGCGGCACCGGCTATTTCCAGCATGCTGGAGCCGGCAGTACCTTCCACTTCCTCATCTGGTAACGCCCAGAATCACCTTCATTAAGGCAAGGCCGTACCCACCCTCCTTGAAAATATGGAAGAAAAAAAAAAAATCGGAGGCAACAGGACCCAAATCGACAAGGCTGGCCACAGCAAGGGAGTCCGTATTTATACTAGGGGAAGGTTAGATAGCTAAAAATGTGTTGCTTTTCCTAAAACAGCAATCCTGAATTCAAGTCTCCCTTCCCTCAATCTTGACCACGACTCACCCGCGGCGTTGCTTCTAGATCCACCTATCCCAGGTTCCGCAGAAACACCCGGGACACTCCGTGCCACCCCGAGGTACAGCCTCCTGGATCCCTTCCCAGCTCCGAGTTGCCAGGGGGTTGCAGTCAGTGTTTTGCTTTCAAAGGTCGAGACTTGATTTGTCACCCTGTCTGCCAGTTCCAAGCTGGGGGAGCCTCTGCGCAGGCGAGTGGCTGTCGGGAGGGGATGGGCGGGATATCCTGAGATAGTTGGCTGCGCCGCCAAGCTCGCTTGAAGCGTAGGGCCGAGACCTGGCACTCACCTGGAGGAGTCCCCTCTAGCGGCCACAGCCAGAAGTCCAGATTGTTTGGGGTCCCAGGCTATGGCAGCTCACCTCCACCTGCCCGCCAGGCGGGCTGAGTTCGAGCAGTCCGCCAGGTGTTCCCGCAACTTGTGCTAACAGCCTCAATCCCGGGAGCTGCTCCTGCTGCTCCCATCAGGTAGTGAGTCCTTCAATACCCGCACCCAGCAGAGCCCTGGTGTGTCTCGGGGACCATGCATACCCTTCATCCCTGCGCCTGCGTCCCACCTGTTGGCTGCGGTGCACCCTTACTCTCACCGCACGCCTGCAGCTCAGCAGCCCCGGGAGGGCTGTCAATCATCCTAGTCCCCCGCTGCTGTTTCCCAGGGGTTCAGCTGTGACTATGAACCCACGCGTGGAGCTTGCAGCGCGTACTTTTTCCTGCACACGCCATCATTCGGTTCAGACCCTCACAGCAACCTCTGAGGGAGATGTGATCACGAAGGTTTTACGAGGAAATGACATTGGGGCGACCTCGGCGATGGGAAGGGGCTCAGGTGTGGGCGGGCAGATTCGACAGGGAGCACTTCAGAGAGGATGGAGCTGTCGTATTGTATTATGGGAGATGCCTAAAGACCAGCTGGGCTGGTGCGAAATTTTTTTCTTGAGGCGTGGGTGGCAGGAGCTGCTGCGATCAGGGGAACGCGCCGGAGACAGTTTATAATAAAAGGCGTATTCCGTAAATTTAAAGGAGCCACTGGTGGGTTCGATGGCTGCGAAGCGGCGCTGTGACTGTGGTGAAACGGGTAAGGGGCTCTTGGAAAACCGCAAGGGTTGCCCTTGAGGAGTTGTGTCATCACTTTTTCACACACACGAGGCGTGGGTGGATACAAATACTCAGGTTTATTCCTTGGGTAGGATTTTCTGAGTGAGCTAAATTCCTAGGCCTTTGGTTCTAAGAATTTTAAGGAGCCACCAAAACATCATCAACAACAACAACAAAACCCAAAACTCAAAAACAAAACCCCTAATACTTCCCTGCCACAGGTCCTGGCATAATCCGCCTAAACCCTAAAATTCTGGTAGCTTCTCTGCTGATTTTGAAACGGCCCTATCGATTGGCCAACAGCTTTTCACATTAGAGAAACAGAGAATACCATTGGCTAGAGTTAGCCGGCTGCCTGCCACTGGACTCTAGAATGTTAGGCCAGTGGTTGCCATAGCGACTGGGCGTGGGGAGGCTAGAACCACTAGGTAGGAGCTAGCTCCTGTTGAGGGGCGGTCCTTGAGGTCTCGAGGAGGACTTGGTGCACTCCATGGGACACCGACTGAGACCTCCGGACTCCGGGTGCGTGTGTGCGGAATCTCTGTGCCCAATTGGGTGCTGCCTCCAGGGCCAGAAGGTGCCACTTGGGGTGGGGGTGGGGGTGTATGCCTCAGTGCTCCCATCTGAAAGGTGCTGCTAACTATGGTTCACCTTCCCCTTGGACCCTATGAATGATAGGACATCTGACTCCCCGTTTCAGACTCTGAGGGGCACCGGTCCTGGGCCACACGCGGGTGGACCACCTAGAGCCCCGCTCTAACAGAGCCCCTCTGGAACATTAGACTTCCTCAGCAAGTCTCCCTTTTTTTCTGGGCCTCATTTTACCCATCTGTAGAATGAAAGGGTGAGACTGGAATCTTGGGGCCACTCGCCATCTGCTACAGTTTCATCTAGGCCCCTGACACACACACTCTCATCAAGCAAACTACAGGGTCATTCCCTGAGGCTTCAAAAAGTTCCTTGAGTCTTATGTGCCTCCCACTCACCTCCAGGAAGTATGTTTTAAGTTGGAAAACTAGATTCTAGGCCGTGACCACCCGTCAAGTGCAGGAGGCTCACCTGGGCAGCATCCGGTACAGAGTTAAGCTATACCTGTTCCCTACCAACTGCACCGCCATTCCACTGAAAACTGGAAAGCAAGATTGACAGTGTTACATTTTGGTGGTAGGATAATGTATTGTTTGACATTTTTCTAATTCCGTAAGTTTTCCAAAAAGCTGATAATTTTCATGAGAAGCGTAATTCTTTTAAAATCTGTTGCATTTTTTTTTTTTTTTAAGACAGGTCTCATTATGTAGCCCTGACCAGCATGGGATGCTCTTTGGAGGGCTGGCCTCATACTCACAGAGTTCCAGCCACCTCTGCCTCCATATGAATGCTTGGAATCAAACCCAGGTCCTCTGGGAAAAATAAACAGCAATAACAAACCAGCCAGTGCTTTTTAACTACTGGGCCATTTATCCAGCACTTTCATTTTGGTTTTTGAGATACGGTCTTGACATATAGTCCAAGCTGGTCTAGATCAGTGTGTAGACCACACTAGCCTTGAACTCCTGATCTTCTTGTCTCTAATTCTTGAGTGCTTGGATTACACCCAGGGCTGTGTGCTTGTTAGGCGATGCCCTAGCAAAGGAGCTACATCCCCAGCCAGTGTCCTCAAACTCTGTAAACGATTCTTACTAAAACTGCAATGCGGCAAGTGAACACTGACTGCCTCCAGAGACACAAAGACATTGTTCTATGGTCATTATTGATTGTTGCCTTGAGATACCTTAATGTTTTCAAGCCATTGTTTCCCACAATCTAATAAAATGTTAAAATCCCAGATTACCCAAAAAGGCTACAAATTGCTGCTGGGAAGATGAATTCAGCAAGGAGCACGCATGGAGGAAGAAAAGTCTAGATAGACCTTTGTTTACTCAGTGCTGCGTTCATTAGTATTTGGAGATGGTGTGAGTTCCTTAGGGGGAAAGGGGAAAATGAATCGTGAATCTGCTCATGAAAAATTAACTGCTTTGGAGATGAAACTGTGTTCATGCTATTGGCAAATAAAAAAAAAAATAACAAAACAGCCCCAGCTACGGAGATTAGAAAACTCTGGCTGTCAGGCAGCAGGTGGCACAATAATGCAGTCCCTGAGGGATATTCCCTTCACTTAGTGAGGGAGTGGTTTCCAGAATGTGCCTCCAGCGGAGGGGAATGGAAACAGACTCTGGCTTTTGGAGTTGAAGCACATTTGAGATTGCATCTTGGATGGCCCCCAAAGCCTGTGTGTTGAGAGCTTAGTTCCTGGTCTTTGGTGGTATTGAGGGGTTGTGGAACCTTTATTTGGTGGTATTGGGAGAAGTTGTAAAACCTTTATTTGATGGTATTGGGGGTTGTGGAACCTTTAGAAGGTGGGGCCTAGTGGAAGAAAGTTGTGTCACTGGGCATGTGATCTTGAAGGAGATACTGGGACCTGGCTCTTTCCTGTTCCTCTTTGCCTCCTGGATGCTGTGCAGTGAAGAGACCCCTTCCACTATCTTGTGCTCCTGTTGTCATGTGCAGGGCTGACACAGGCCCTGAGCAGCAGGACCAGTGACTGGAGACTGAGACCCTTGAAGCTGTGAGCCAGTACAAGTCTTTGGGATTTTGTTCCAGTGATAGAAGGCCACCTCACATAAGGTCATGGAGGTTGGAGTTCACGAAAGCCAAAGAACCAAGAATAGGATCTAAATGCAACTATGCCAGAGGAGAGCGTTGCAGGGGAAAATGTTGGCAACCTGAAGAGATCTCTTTGAGTCTTGGCTGAAGAACATCCTGCCCAAGCTTGAGAAGAATCCAAGGAAGCAGGAGGCAGGACATCTCCTGAGGTCATATAACTGATTGCATTTCATGTTCCCATAAGCCAGAATGGAGGGACACTGTTAGATAAGGGGCAGGTAGGCGCTACACAAGTGTCATGCCTAGTGACTGAGGGTGTGGCTCAGTTGGCAGAGTATTTGCCTTGAATGCTGGTAATGAGTCCCAGCACCATATACAGGGGTCATGGATGTTGGTGCATACATGCATGCAGTCCACCAGTCAGGAGAGAGAGGCAAAAGGTTCAGAAATTCAAGGATATCCTTAGCTGCCAGCAGGGCTACAAGAGGCCCTGTTAAAAGAAAAACAAACAAACAAACAAACAAACCATGCCTCACTAGTGAAGATGAACTTCTTCCAGAATAAAAGCTGCTCTGAACCTTTCAAAGTTTGAAAGCTTGGAGAGGTCAAATGAATCTGCAAGTTACTAAGAACGAGACAGGAAAAATGCAAATGCACAAGAATGGAACTTTCATACTATCTAGACCCAATACAAAGATCCAGGAAAATGTGGCCCTAGTGCCAGTGATGACAGACATGACAGAGCCAGCAGAAAGGCCCGCAGGGCAGCCGTTGCAAACCCGCAGAATCTCTGCAGGAGCTGGACCAGGAAGGTCTTTCTAAAAACAAAGAAAAAGCTGCTGCTAGGGGTGCAGGGACAGGTTAGTTTTCTCTGCTGATTAAGAATTAAAAGGCAGTAGTGAAGTGTTGCCCGGAATCTTGGGGAGTCAGGGTCCTTTCTAGGGGTTCTCAGTTTCATTAATAAAAGAATTTAAGAACGAACACAAACAGAAGCTCAAGGACAAAGGATTAACTCAAGCTAAAGCTCAGGGACAAGGTATTAGAGTTTGAAAGGAGAAGCCCGGGGTGGGCGGGCAGGAAACCTCACAGCTGCCAGGAAGGGAGGAGCAGGAGAAGCTGGGATAGAGATCAGCAGCAAGGCAGGGACGGGACCTTTAGAAAAAGATGAAGGAAGCCTGAAGCAGTAGGGAGTTTAAAAGCATACTTGAGCTCTGGCCAGCATCTGAAAGAAAAGAAGAAATCATTACCCCTGGGTGGACAGATCCAGCAGAACCCCATGGGAGCTGGTAGGGACTGCACTAGCAGGGAAAGTACTCTATCTTAAGGTAACCCCACTTCCCAGGGTTTGTCCTGCTTGATTAACCCTCAAGGGAGGAGACAAAGCTTCCACAGGCTGTCCACAAATTGTGAATCTCTACTCTGTGGAGGTGAGAACAGGAGAGTCCTTGGGGCTCCCAAGCCAAATGGTCAGCCCCAGCTTCAGCATGAGACACTGTCTCAAAAAAATAAGTTAGCTATAACATGAATAATAAAAACCCAGAGACAGATATTAGGGTTCAAGCTGAAGATCAGAAAAGCAAAGCAGCCAAGCCAACAGAGAGTTCTTACTTCTACCAAGGCTAGGGAGATCCTGTCCTCAATGAGACTGGAGACTAATTGCCTGGGACTGAATGCTGAATACTGAATGCTGAATGCCAGCTCTGAGACCCTGCTCCTGTCTTATATGCCACTCTAGTGCTGGAATTAAAGGCATGAGTTCTGTTTCTCTTTTAGACTGATTGACTCTCATGTAGCCCTGGGTGGCTTTGAATTAACAAAGACCCATCTGCTTCTGTCTCCTGAGTCCTGGGATTAAAGGTGTATGCCACCACTGACTGGCCTTTGTGGCTGTGGTTAGCTTTGCATTCTGATCTCCAGGCAAGCTTTAATAGATTATAAACAATATATAACCACAGATAGCAATAGAGGAAGACATTCAGTGTGGATCTTCACATTCATGCATACATATGTATACACACAAGCACACACAGGCCATAATGTAGCATCCAGAAATGAAAAAAATACAATTAAAATGAAAATAATTGGTGAGATTCACAGATAAGACTAGATCAGAGAGGCTGAAGAGGTAGAACAATTCAGATTGTCTGAACAGAACACAGAGATTAAACAAGACTGAGTTTCAAAGACAAACGGACTCTCAGCCACCTTTAGGAAAACACCAAGTGGTCTAATGCACGTTAACTGTCAACTCGGAAAAGAAGGGAGCAGAAAAAACTGCTTGAAGGATGAATGCAAAAAGTTTACAGAATCTGATAGGACCCATAAACCTACCAATTCAGGAAATGCAGCAAATCCCAAACGTCAAAAACCCTGAAGAATATCATGCCACGGTATCATCAAAATCAGATCAGTGAGTGTCAGAGGGGTCAGAGCTGCAGAAGACAGAACAACTGTGGCAAGGGTCCCCTGGTGGCAGGGGATCTATGGGGACATGCCATTGTTCTGATCTGCTTTCTACTACTGTGATAAAGGTCAAGTCCAAAAGCAACTTGGGGAGGAAAGGGTTTGCATTCTGATCACAGACCATCATGAAGGGAAGACCAGGCAGGCATTCAAGGCAGGAACCTAGTTGGGGTGTGGTGGTGCACACACCTTTAATCCTAGTGCTTGGGAGGCAGACACAGGTAGATCTGAGTTTGAGGCTGGCCTGGTCTACATAGTGAGTTCCAGGACAGAGAATAGTGAGTGAGATCCTGTCAAAAACAAAACAAAACAAAACAAAACAACTAGATAAAACAAATAAACCAAAATAGTGAAGGCTGTCTGGTCATGGTGACACATTCTTGAAATCCCAACACTGGAGAGAGTGACACAAGAAGGACACTGCAAGTTCAAAGCCAGCCTGGGCTACATAGTAAAATATTGTCTCTAAAATAGAACAAAACAACAACAAAAGAAATTAGGTGGGTTGGTGGGGGTGGGGGGGGGTGAGGGGTGGGGGGGGGAGTCATAAAAAAAAAGTGAGTTCAAGGCCAATTTGGTCTACATAAGTAGTTCCAGACTAGCCAGGACTATACAGACACCTCTGTCTCAAACAACAAGACAAGAAAAAGGCACAGTGGTCTCAGAGGATGGAAGGTCAGAATTACAGGGAACCTCTTCTCTGTGACCATGGGCGTCAGGAGATGGGGATGTAGCTCGGAGGCAAAGCATGTATCTGGCATGCTCGAAGTGCTGATTCAGTGTTCAGCACCTAAACAGTAGGAACACACATTCAGGGCTGGGGTTATAGTCCAGTGTAAAGTCCTGTACTCCAGTGAAAAAGAGAAAAGGAACCACTTTTCAATACGAAGACACAGTTGGTTCAAAATAAAAAACTGGGAAAAGGTATAGACATTAATAGTAATCAAAAGACAGGTGGAGGGACTATATTAATAAGAAATGGGCAGAACAGGATATTACCAGGGATAAAGAGAGGTATTTCAAAGGTGCATATAGATCATACTTATGCGGGTAGCCATTAAGGTGCTCCTACCCACACAGAACACAAGTAAGAACGCTAAACAAAGATGAATTGACTGCGATGTGGCACAGGGACCATCAGTAAATCCCTCAGTCCTGAATAAACCGGAAATCGGGGCATAAAAAGCTTGAACACCAGTGCTGAGCAGTTTGATCAGGTTGACACTTGTGCAAAATACTGTCCAGCAATATAGGAAAAAAAGAGGGATCAACAGGAAGACATCTGGGAAGTCTCTAACTGCTTGGAAATTAAAAAGCAGACCTCTACATTTCAAAAATAAAACTGGTCGGTCATAGTGGCACACACCAGTAGGATTTGCTGAAGGAGGCAGAGGCAGGAGACTCACGAGTTCAAGCCCAGCCTGGGCTACACATTTTTCTGGGTGGTGATGGTGCCTGCCTTTAATCCCAGCACTCGGGAGTTCAAGGCCAGCCTGGTCTAGGAGCTAGATCCAGGACAACTAGGGCTGTTACTCAGAGAAACCCTGTCTTGAAAACAATAACAACAACAACAAAAAAATCTGAAAGGAAAACAAAAATGTAACACATTAAAATATATAAAATGCCATTAAAAAAAGACTGTACCTATGGACATATTTAAGATAGGAAATGTTGTTATTTTACTAAGTGGCAGGAGAGGTCTGAGTTTAATGGCCCAGGTTTTCTTCTAAGAGTTAAAAAAAGGTATGTGAAACCCAGAGAAAGAAAGGTCATGGAAAAGCTGTTTGCTTTTGAAAAGATGGTTGGTCATGCCTGCCAACAAAAGTCTATAAAATGTAAATCACTACTGTGAGTTGTAAAGGAGAGGCGTTTCCACAGAAATTAAAAGGACAATCTGACCAGCACTGGGCACGGGCAGACAGGTCTACAGAGCAAAGCAACAGAGTGAGAGGCCCTGTCTCAAAACCAACAAGGATAATCAAAGACTATTACCAACAACTTTATGCTAATGAACCTCCTGAAGAGGAAATGGAAGAATTTCTTTGAAAGGTGCTTATTACCAAAGCTCCCTCAAGAAGAAATGGACTAGCTAGGTGGCGGTGGCTCATGCCTTTTATCCCAGCACTGGGGATGTAGAGGCAGGTAGATCTCTGAGTTCAAGACCAGCCTACTCTACAGAACTGACTACAAAGAAAAATGCTGTCTCAGAAAAACCAAAATAAATAAACAACAAACAAAAAGCAAACAGGCAGCATGAAGAGTCCTGTGTGTGTTAAGCAAAAGGACTTTGTTATTGAAAACCTTCCCTCAAGGAAGCATCAGGACTTGATTCCATTTGGGAATGGAAAGAAGAAATGATATCAATCTGAGCAAACATTTGAGGAAGAAATAATGCCAGTGCCAGGAAATTAAAAGAGAAATAGGGCAGGCAAGATGGCAGGTAAGTACTTCCTGCCAAGTCCGATGGCCTGAGTTCAATTCCAGGGAGAGAGAGAATGCATTCTGTCACATTGTCCTTTGTAATGCTTAAAAAAGAAGTCAGACAAAATTAAAAAAATAGAAGAAAACTATCATCTAATAGTCATGTACATAGATGTGGAAGTCTACATCACCACCAAGTAGCACTAATTACAGAAATTCTAGCCCAGTGTGGCGGCACTCACCTTTAATCCCAGCACTTGGGAGTCAGAGACAGGCGGACTGAGTTCGAGGCCAGCCTGGTCTACTGAGTGAGTTCCAGGACAGCCAGAGCTACTCAAAGAGACCCTATCTCAAACAAACAAACAAACAAACAAACAAACAACAAAAACTTTGTAGAGCCAAATGTGTTGGGTCACATCTTTATTCTCAGCACTCAGCGGGCTGATGAGGAATTTTTTTTTTTAAATGAGTAACATTTTTAGTTGTGTGTGTCGTCACATATATAAAGTGCAGGTGCCCGTGGAGGCCAGAAAAGGGCAGCTATGGGTTTTCTTTGTTAATTGTTGCTGCCTTTTAAGCTACGGCTATCCTAGTCAGCAACTGCAACTCTGCCGCTACTCAGCACCAACTCTTTCAAAGCTACTAAGGAAACTTACTTAAATCTCTGTCCCACTAAAGAACTCAAGATTCAAAGGTTGAGGTGGAACCCTGCTTCCCAGGGAGGCCGAGTGGCAAGCAGCTCACCCAGCTCACCTCTTCTTGTCTCCCAAGAAGTCCTTGAGCTTTTTCTCGCCCCTCCTTCTCCACCTGGCTCTTTCTGCAACTCCCTGTTAGCTGGTTGCTGACCCAGCATCCTGGCTGCAGGTGAATTTTATCTAATCAGACACATCTTTGCATCATTAAACAAATGTTCCAGAACATAAACAAAAGGAACACACTTTAAAATAATATTCTGCAACAGGCATCTGATTCCCTGATGCTGGAGTTCCAGGTGGTTTGAGCTGCTCTATGTGTGGATTGTTGGGAAGTGAACCTGAGTGCTTTGCAAGAGCAGCTCTAACCATTGAGCTGTCTCATCATCCCTAGGAGGACTGTGTTGGTAGCAGTTGATCTGCTGGTGGTAGTATTTGTGTGGCGTTGTAGAAAGGTAGTTGTTGTGACAGGAAGCTCAGGAATTGGCAGATGCCAAAAGCACATGGGACCTTTGCGGGCTTTGTATAACACTAATGTCTTAATCGCAGTGGTCTAGAGCACAACCTCCCACATTGTCAGAACTTAGACTCATACCTTTACCACTGAAGAATTTTGTTGTATGTAAACTATATCTTGGCCAAGCTGGGTTAATGATGAAAATAATATCTAAAGCCTCAGTGGCTATATGCAGCAGTGAGGGTGAACTTGTGTGGCCTCCTAAATTCTGTCAGTGCTATGTGCTTGGAATCTGGGGTGACACGGAATTTTGTGGATGAGTTTCTGCCCCACAAGCTCTCTCAGCCTAACACACCATTAGCACAGAGCTGACCATGGTGTGAAAGGACCCTGCAAATGCTCTATCTTATTTCAGGTGTTCAGAAGAACTCAAGGCTGAAGTTTTCCTCCAACAGACAGAACATGCCCCTGAGCTATGCTAATGTGGACAACAGTGCCCCAAATGATGAAGACTCTGGCAAACCTATCAAGCAAGGTGACAAGATACAAAAAGGTCTAGTGAATTTAAATCTCAGCATGTCCACTCTGGTACATAAGAGCACAGTTGGAAGGATTAGTAGACGTTGGGTGTTATCCACAAGGCCATCCTTCGAGAGTGTATCAGATGAATTGCCTTTGGCCCTGCTGACCCTAGTGTGTAGATGGGAGAAAACGTAAGAGAGGACGAATGGGAAAATGGCTGTCTCTTCAACAACAAAAAGATAACAAGCTATTTCCGTATGTCCAGCAAGAGTCATGTTCTTGCATTTTAAATGTGTAACAGGTCTTGCTTGCTTTATTTCTGACAACTAAATTTTTATGGCAAGCCCTCATTCTTTTTACTTTCTTTCTAGGTTTATAGTTGAAATGTGTTTCTTGTAGGCAGCATGTAGTTGGGTCTTTCTTTCTTGTCCTGTCTGACAACTCCTGTCTTTTAACTGGAATGTGTAGCCCACTTAATGTTTAATGTGGTTATGAATGTGTAAGTCTATTAGTTTATTATTTGCTTTCTTTCCCATCTTTTCATTCTTTATTTGCTCATCCTTTTGTATTGTATATTTTAATTTAAAAACATTGATTTTATATATTTGGTTCTGCATACCATGTGCATGTAGTATTTGAAGAGGACAGAAGAGGGTGTTGGATCCCCTGGAACTTTAGTTACAGGTGGCTGTGAGCCGCCATGTGGGTGCTGGGAACTGAACCTGGGTCTTCTGGGAAAGGAGCTAATGCTCTTAACCTTGGAGCCATCTCTTTAGTGCCTATTTTAATTTTTAAAAATCACACTTATTTATTTTGTATGTACATGTGGAGGTGACAGAACAGTTTTGGGGAGTTGGTTCTCTCCTTCCACCACAGGATTCTTGGGGATTGAACTTGGGTAGTCAGGCTTGACAATAAGAGCCCTTGTCCACTGAGCCATTCTCTGACTCTTTATTGAACTTTTGTTTTTAATTCAAAGAGGACAATTTTATTGGAGCTTAAAAGAAAAACCCCAGAGCAGACAAGCAGACAAGGTGTAAATCTCAGCAGGTGCCAGGAGAACAGAGAAGAGTAGGAGAAATGCCACGCTGGCCATGGAGTTCAGCATGTCATCAGGTGGTTCAGGTTTTATTGCCTAGCAAGGAAAAGGAATTCTGTCTGAACAGCCTCTGTGCGTGTGTGTGTGTGTGTGTGTGTGTGTGTGTGTGTGTGTGTGTGTGTGTGTGTGTGTGTTCACGCCTGTGTGTGCTGTAGAGAAAGAGTAAGGAACCTAAACATCCAATATAAGTTACTTTTGTTCTGGCCAGAATCAAAGAGGAAGAAATAGAAAAAGGACAAGTTGTATCTTTTTGTGTCAGAAAGGCGAGCAGACCCCCTGAACCTTGTGGCCCCTAGTAAGGTCTGACTATATTGAGTTCTCTTTTGTTAGCTCACTAGGATAACTGTTTGTTTGGTTATTTTTTTTGAGACAATGTCTCATATATTCCAGGCTGGCCTTGAACTCTAAATGTAGCCAAGGAGTGACCTTGGATTTTTAAACCTCCAGCCTCCAGTTCTTGAGTGTTACAAGTACAGGTGTGTGCCACCACACCTGGTATTATGTGGTGATGGGGATGGAACCCAGGGCTTTTGTACATGCTAGGGAAATACTCTACCAGCTGAGCTACATCCCCAGCCTAGGATGACTTCTTACAGTATTTTCTAGCAGTTACACTGAGCAAACACTAGCATTGTGTGCTGATGGCTGTCTTATTTTTGTTGTTTAGGTTTTACCGCTGCATACCCAACTCAAGCCTCCATTCCTTATAGATGCAGAACATCATTAATCCCAGATTCAGAAAAAAGGGGATTTAACTGCCAAGCCAGGAGATTCTATCACAAAAAGGTAAATGACATTGTCTTCAAAATTCCTTTGAATTTTAGCTGTTGTGTTTCTCTTTGAACAGCAGAGGGCAGTATCACCCAAAGAACTGTACCATCCTCCAAGGAGGCACTGTCAGTATGGTAAGAAACAGCCTGAAATTGATTGATTGATTGATTGATTGATTGATCGATCGATAGATCTACTTATTTGTTGTGTTGGGGATTCACCCCAGGACTTAGCATATACTATGTGCTTGGAAAACATAATCAGGGGTCTTGCTATGTAGCCCAGGCTGACTTTGAACTCAGGTTCCTCCTCCTTTGGCCACTTGCATATTTGAATTGAAGCCATATGCAACCACACCCTGTAACCAAAATTATCTTTAATTTGAAAAGAATAAAAACACAAGATCTTCTAAGTCCTATGCCTATGTAGTAGAAGATTTAAAACCAGCCCACTCTGATCTATCAGAGGGAATTGCATAATTACACGTGGGTAAACAAGTTTCTAACAAATTTAAAGTTGTGTTTGTGATGAGCTCCCCCATTAAAAAATCTCCTTAAACAACAATAAAAATAAAATAACTTTCCTTAAACAATTTCTTATTATTACTATGGGGCTGATAAGACAGCTTGAGCTCTGGAGCCCCCAATGGTGGAGAGCAGCTAATACTTTTTAAAATTGTCCTCTGATCTCCACATGTATGCCATGATATGTGCACACACACAAGTAAGTAAATAAATGCAACTAAAACATAATGCCATACTGTGCATTATCTATCTATCCTCTCTTCTTTACATCTAGTCTGGAAAGTTCTGGTTGTTTTCCTGCCAGCCTTTAACTTATTCCTGGCCTCCTCCTTTTTCACCAGCAGGGGGCTGTAGCAACTCACAGGCATTCTTTCAGTGTCTTAAAGCACTTCACACCCTTCTTTTAAGTAGGACCCCGAGAGTAGCATTTCTTTGGAGCAGTGGCCATCCCAGTTACCTTCTTCTGCGGTCTGCAGGTGCCTGCCATCCTCCCTCCTGCCCTAGCTGGCTGCAAAAGGGGTGGGAGGACCCCAGTTCTGAGCACAGGTGAGGTATGCCATTGAGCCTCCACCCCTTTCAGGGCCCTCACCCCAAGCCACACTCCTCCTTTGTGAGCTGGAATGAGGAACTAGAGAGTGGATTAAGTTCTTTTAACCTCCCATTACCTCAGGATTCTAGTAAGCCCACAATAAGTAATATAGCATACACATATTTTAGAATCACTCAGCTTTCCTTAGGATGATAAATATTTGCTCGGGTATCTTTCTTTTTTCCTCTAGTTTCTCCATATCTTAGCCGTCTGCCTCTTCCCCACTTGCTGTGTGGGTTCTCATTGATCAACTTTAATGACAGCGTGTCAGTTGTCCATGTCCAGGGTGCTCGCAGCTTAGTTGCCAATAAAAAGAATAGTAGCTGTCACTGACCAATCCCTACTATGTGTTACAGCATTTTTAGATCATATCACTGCTCCCCAGAACAATGCTAAAAGGGTTTGGTGTCTTCATTGAACATAAGAGGAAACCGAGGCTTAAACAGTTAAGTGACCCACCCTCCCTCACACAGCCCGGGGTTTGCCACATAAGAGGCTCTAAATAAATATTTGCTGAATCAACGTTGAAAGAATTAGACCTCAACCCAGGCACAGCTCACTCCAAAGCCTCTCGCTCTTTCCACACCGGACCACGCCTGCCTTTGTGGCCTTCGCGGCTGTAAATTTGGTTGATGAAAGTCAGCATGCTTCTGGAAAGGCCTTGGCAAACAGATGGATCTCCAGGGAGGGAGGGCAATAAATGCTCCTTGCCGAGGCTCCATCCCACATGGCAAGCTCTGGGGACTCTGATCCAGGAGCTCAAAGTACCGTGTGAAATCCTATCATGTCTCCTGCCCAGGGAACCCTCGTGGCCACCAGCCAGAACTGCAGGCCGCATCCATAAAGGCAGAAACCACTCAGAAGTTTGGTTCCAAATTCTCCAATGTGGTTGCATCCATTTGATGGGAAAACCTTCATCTGAGCCTTTGAAAGGTTGTGTAATTACTGAGGAGTTATATAATTCCCCATGTCCTAAGCACAGAGAATCCACTCCTTCCATGCTCGGTGCCGTCATTCTCATTTTTCCCTGGGGGGGGGGGGAATGAGCGTGGAGAAGTAATGCGCTTGCGCGGCATCACCCAGTAATTTAGTGAGACAATGCATGTTAACAACAGATTCGAAACCTCCCCTGCCTCGCCACCCTTCTTAAGACAGGAGGCGCACACGCCCTGTACTGAGCCCACACCCGGCCATCTGCTCGCCTTGGAGCTGTGACACACTTAGCCCAGCTTTACCATGGTGCTCAGAGGCAGGCACTCACCGGAGCTGCCACCCTGAGCCTCGGAGCCAGTTTGTATTCCTTGAGAGGATCCCACCCCTGGGATGCCGGTGAGATGGCTCAGGGGGCCAGGGTATCCCCTGGCAAACTTAGTGATCAGAGTTCAGTCTCTGGGATCCACGTGAAACTGACTCCCTCGGGTTGTCCTCACATGTACACCCCTTGCACACACACTTTTTTTTTAAGTAAAGGAATCTCACCACTGGGAGTATGAGGGTCCTGCACAGACTTGTGCCTGAAATGGCTATTTGGATTACTAGGAATAAACTCTGTAATCATTTACAAATGTGAAGCTAACTTTATGTCCCTGAGGAGACATACCTCTAGCCTTGTCCAGCGTCCCACTGGACATTTTCTTCCCTGTCTCCCAATTCCTGCTCCATCCCACCCAGTTTCCCAAGCTATGGAGCTGTAAGTACCCCACCTAGTGTCTCTGCATCAGTTTCCTCCTCTTAAAATTAGAATGTTACACTAGACTCCTTTTCCTGGGAGTGACAATTTCATGATACCAAACTTGCTGCCTTCCATTTGAATGAACACAGGCTGGTAGGACAGGGACCCTGTGTCTTCTAAGTGTGCATCATTTAAGTTGCTTGTTGATGGGGCTGGAGAAATGGCTCAGTGGTTTAGAGTATCTGTTGCCCTGGGAGAAGGCCTGCATTCAATCCCCATCCCGATATGGTGGCCCGTAGAATCTCGATGAAATTGAGTGTGCTTGCCCATGCCTGCAATCCTAGCACTTGGGAGGCAGGAGAATCAGCAGTGCAAGGTCATCCTTGGTTGTATAGTGAGTTGAGTCCAGCTTTCCATAGAGAAAACCACCTCAAAAACAAACTAGTTAGCCACTAGCTAACTAACTAACTTGGTCAGACCCTGTCTCCACAGGAGATCTACCCTCCAAACAGTCAGGGACCACAGTTTAAATTGCAATGAAACCATGCAATGTTATGTTTACAGATTAACTCAGAATTTATGACATCAAGTGGAAACCCCAGTGTAGGATGCCCTGCCTGGCCCTAGGTTCTGCAGTAGGACCTCCCCCATAAGCTGGGGCAATACTATATGGCCCAGGAGCTGAAAGCCAGCCCCATGACCTCTTCAGGCCAATCCCAACGTCAGGTGGATTGGGATCATCTCTCACTCCAGTACCTGGGGAGACTCTCAGTCCAACGAGTTCTCCAAGTGTCACCCAAGCTGTGTATTGGATGAGAGGAGGGGAACACATCTACCAAGCATTGCTTGCTCAGTCCCATGCTCACAAGGTGGGTCCCGGCTCTGAGGTGACTTCTATTCTGGTTATTTGGAAGCGTCTCATCTACGAGACCAAGGGGGTAGTTGAGTTCACACCTGGTTTTACCCTGATCACCCTGAGAGTCCTGCCCCGTGTCCAGCAGCCTCACGAGGACCCTCTGCGTCTAGGTTCTCTGAACCTGTGGAGTCCTTCTGGGCGTTATATAATACAACTCTTCCCTTCCTTGTAGCCTTGGGTGATTTCTTCAGTGTAAACAGGCCTCTGGTGACCCATTTCAGTGACCACTGTGGGGGTTTTAATGGTTCCCTTCACAGGCCAGCTCCAGCATGCTTCTCCCAAGAGATTTTCTTTGGACCTTCATCAAGAGCAGATTTCATCCCCATAGGCTAAACAGAGACAGCCCTATTCCCATTTGCCTGGGACTCTAGCCATTTTGTAGTCTGCCCCAACTGATGGATGTCCAGTAGAGTTGTCAGATTCAGCAAAGGAAAGCATGGATGCTTGGATAAATTAGAACTACAGACATGTAACTATTTTAGCATAAGTATGTCCCAAATACCTCATGGGTTATACTTAAGCAAAAACAGTTGTTTGCTGTTTGCCATTCTAATTTGACTGGGTAGGTTGAGTCAGAGCAGTGGGCGTGTGCAGATGGACTAGGAGCTAGAGATGTATCTTCCCTGCCCACTGTTCAGACCTCTAAGAGTCACATAACAGAGGCTGGAGAGCTGGCTTAGCAGATACAACACTGGCTGCTCTTCCAGAGGACCTGGGTTCGATTCCCAGTACCCAAATGACAATTCAACTGTCTGTAATTCCAGTTGTAGGGTATTCAATGCCCTCTTCCGGCCTCCACAAGCACCAGGCACATGTATAGACGTGGGCAAGACACTTCTACCATCATTATCACCAGTCACACGGCACACGGTGATTCCTGCTGCAGCTTTCCCTAGTGACAGGGACCCTGGAATCTTAGTAGGATCCCAGCACCTTGAGGCCCAGTGAGGTAAAAGTTACTCAAGATCATGTAGCTGACCAGCACAGACTTACCCAATTCACGGCCTTGGGGGAGGACTTTTCTTTTATCCCATATAGTCTCATCTGAGAGGCAGTTGGTGTCTGTGGTTAGGAGACTCTCATCAGACTGTCTGGGCTCAAATTCTGACTCTGACTTCTGCTGGCTGGACGGCATTAGGGTCATCATCTCTTTTGACCCCATCTTCTCAGTTTCCCGATGCAGACTCAGTGAGCCAGCCATTGTAAAGTCACAGTGTGCTGCTGGGCACAGTGGGCAAACAGGAACCTGACTTCCCAATCTGTGGTCCTTCCCTCCTGCACCTGCAGTGCCATGCTTCTGACTCTGGGCCTGGAAGGCTGTGTCCTCTGTTCTTCCTCTGCTTGCCTCATGAGTGTGCATCACACACACACACACAGCCCCAAGATTCTGCTAACAGTACCTATGCCTCTATTCTTTTTTATTTAAAAAAAATTTTATTTTTCATTTTATATAACAACCCCAGTTCCCCTCCTTCCCTTTCTTCCATCCCCCTTTGCCCCTATCCTCCCATTCACTCCTCAGAGTGGGTAAGGCCTTCCTTAGGGAGTCAACAAAGTCTGGCATACCAAGTTGAGGCAGGACCAAGCCCCTCCCCCCTGTATCAATGCTCAGCAAGGTATCCCACCATTGGAAATGGGCTCCAGAAAGCCAGACTCTATTCTTTATAATCACTCAATCACTTTGTCCCCCCCCTCCAGACTAGAAAGTTCTGGAAGGCATGAGTGGTGCCTCAAGCTCTCTGCCTACGTAAGGCAGCAGGGACAGAAGAGTTAGGATGTATCTTTGTCTGAGTGGAGCTAGAAAACTCTGGAATCTGGGTCCATGGGCTCAAATCTGGGTTTTACTGCTTATTGACTGTGGCCCCACAGGCCCAGGTTCTGTTTCCTTGGGTGGCTTTGGTGACATGCCTACTTCCAAGGACATACACCACGTGCTCAGCATTTGGACTTGGGACAAATTCATCTGCATGTGCCCATTTATGAAATGGGGACAGTAATCCCTTCCTCATTGGGTGATGGCGAAAATGAGGATGAGCTTTAAGAAGCTGGAGCACCGGGCAGGACCTGGGAAGCTGCCCCAACAAGGAAGCATCAGTTCATTTCATGCCACTTGCTCCTCCAACTTTTGTCAGCCCTGGTGTCCCTTAGTAACCAGCACCAGAAACAAGCTGGAAGCTTCTGGAAGCTCAGGTAGCTTGCAGCAGCAGAGCTAGCCCTGAACACGGCTTCTGCTGCCTGCTCCCTGGCACACCAGTCTCAAGTTGCCCTTGGGGCCCATGGCCTACCTTATTTTGTCTCCAAATTCAAGATGGCCTCATTTGGAATGAGGGTTGTTTTTGTTTCATTTTGCTTTATAAACAGAAACACTCCCCAGTTTCCCTTCTCAGAGGCCTCAGGAGGAAGCTGAGTCAGGTGGGTGTGGTTACCATGAAATCGGTCACCCTCCCTTTACCTTGGGCTTGGCTGACCCAGTCCTTGGAGGCTGACATGCACACTGGCACATTTCCCTAATGACATGAAAACCAAAACCTCCCCCAAACAGTGTTCCTTTAGAACTCAGGATGGGGACTTAATGGAAAGAGCAAGGGCTTTGGGAGACCTGACCTGGATTAGGATTCCTGCCCCTCCCACTGGTAACTGAGATAGAGATTGGGAAAGTCAGAGAGATGGTGGAGCGAGGCTGTCAGCCCTGAAAATGATGGAGCCTGTCCTGTAGGATTAGAGGGAGGCTTAGCGTGAATGGATGGAAGCTGTCGGAAAAGTGTGGTGAAGCTGCCGTGCCCAATGACACTGCATTCTTGACCTTTTCAGGATGACGTCCCGGGCCCTGGGTTCTACAACGTCATCCACCAGTCTCCAGTGTTCAACAATGCCTCTCTTTCCAAGAGAGGAACCTGCACTTTCCCCTCCATGGTGAGAGCCCTTGGGTGTTAAATGCTCAGTTATTCCCTCTTTCCATTGCGTAATGACACGGTGGCCGGCTGGTCCTTTCTCTCCAAAGGTCCCTGTTCTGATTAAGACAGCAGCCACTTCCTGTGAATTCACAAAGATGAATCTGAGCCTGTGTCGCTAGGCCATTTGTCTCCACGGATGCATGTGGACGAGGTAGAGGGAAAGCTAGAACTTGGTTGTCGAGTACAAGAGACAGCTGTCTTCCTGAGGCTTTTAGGTACGCCAGGGAAACTGCTGTGTCCTGCCCCCAAATTATTCTTATCACTTGCTTCCTATAACTGGGTTGTTCACATCATTGGGAAATTGGAAGGACCAAAAAAGAAACTAGGAGACAGTTTGATGGCATGGGGGATAGGAAGTGCTCCAGCCAAAGCTGATGGCCTGAAATGAATTTCTAGGAACCACATGGGAGGAGAGAGCAGACCTCTGATACTAAAGAGAAAGATGCGTGCACACACACACACACACACACACACACACACACAGAGGGTGTGGGGGAAGCAGACACTGGGCGTGAAGTACAGGAATCTTCATGGTACAACATGGGACTTTATCTTTGTTGAGGGTTCTTGCAGTCAAACAGATAAAGGAAGCACCAGTGAGGCCGAGCAGACTCAGGTGAAGACAGCTTTCTTCTATTATGTTTTGGTGTATATGCTCAGAATGGCGTCCACAGCTGTACTGCTAAGCTATGGCCTCAGTTTTAAGGGAATCAAGCAAGGAGGGAGAGCCAAGCCAGAGCAAGGTCACCTGTGGTGAACAGCAAAGAGAAAGCAGAGCCAGGATCCACCATCAATAGAACACATGTACCTGCTTGTCCCTGTAAAGGTTATGACAGTCTCTTGTATGGACTTATAAGATGCCTCACATTGGGGCTAATTTTCCTATTACTCTCACACAAAGGGAATATTTAAGGTCCACCGAATGCAGTTGTTGGGAGTCGAGGTAGCCGTGTGGAATATTCAGGAGTGTAGGCTCACAGTGTCTGAGCCCTCAGCAAAGTCATGGGATAGCCAGGCCTTTAACTTCCAGTTGGGAAAAAGACCCCAAAGCTACTGTCAGCGTAGTGCCACATCACATGCTGGAGGAGGACCATGGAAAACCTCATCCTGACTCAGCTTCGGAGCCTGGATGTGACTTCAAGCACAGCACCCTCCTGTATCCAAGTTGCCTCAGAGACTCCCTGCCAGCTCTGGGCAAACTGCAGTCAGTGCAAAAGACTTTGAAATTGCACAACAGGCCATGAGCTAACTCTGTCCCCACCTGATCACTCTCAGACTGCCCAAAGCACCTAGGTACTCTCTGGGACCTCCTCTGCCAGGCAAGGTACTACCATTCCTCTTGGTGCCAACAAGGGGCTGGATTGGAGACACAGTGAAGGCCCTGCCAGGCTTCACCAGTGGTGACTTTCTAATGGTTTTGCTATTCATCCAGAAAGAAGGCATGGGAAGGTCTGAAGTGTAGAATCCAACCAGGCCTTTCACTTCTTTAAAAAAAAAAAAAAGGACCTAGAAGAAAGGAGATGTGGGGGCTGCCCTCCCTCTGGTGTGAGACTTCAGCTTTATATTTCTTGTTTTTTTTTAATGAAATTCTTTTTTTTTAAAGATTTATACAGTGTTCTGCCTGCATGTATGCTTGCTTGGGCACCAGATCTCATTTCAGATGGTTGTGAGCCACCATGGGATTGCTGGGAATTGAACTCAGCCATCTCTCCTGCCCCCTATGTTTTAAAGAAGCTGGGCAGTGGTGGCACATGCCTTTAATCCCAACACTTGAGAGGCAGAGTGAGGCTATGTGAGTTTGAGGCCAGCCTGGTCTACAGACTGAGTTCCAGGACAGCCAAGACTACACAGAGAAACCCTGTCTCAAAACAACAAACAAAACAAAACAAAACAAAACAAAACAAAACAAAGGTTGGTTTTGAAGTGTGTGTGTCTGTGTAGAAGAGTGCAGGAGCCTGCACCGGCCAGCAGAGGGTGTCAGGTCCCCGGGAACTGGAGTTAGAGGCAGGTCTAAGTTGCTTGATATGGATGCTAGAAATGGAATCCAGGTCCTCTGGAGAGTGATAGAATGTCTGAGCCGTCTCTCCAGCCCCAGATTTATGTTTTTAAATATTTGTGTTTCTTTATTCTTGGGAAGGGGGCCTCAAGTGGTTTGTAATACCTGGCTGCAGGCTCCACATGGTCTTTAGTTTCTATCCAAACTATTTGAGGGACAGAGGGCCTTTTCCCCACTTCTGGTTCCCGAGATTCGAGGAATTCAAGTCTCCCACCTCAGAGGAAGATCACAAAGGCCCAGAGGAGTGTGATTGGGGTGAGGCTGCCAAAAATGTCCATGGGCCTATAAATTCTACACACTTCCTGATGGTTGTCAGGGCAACACCCAACCCTTTGGGAAGTTTAAATGATATGCACCTCATTAAGGAACTCCAAGTTTTTGTTCTAGAATCTTCTACAACTTTGACCAGGAAGCTAAATGAGGCAGGTGGGTGGGGACTTCGGTGGTCTTTCTGGGTTGCATAGTGGTGGGGTGGTTCTGGAGGAGTTAGTATGTGTTGGGGAGAAGTTGTCAAGGGCCAATGTGAGCCCCTGACTGGAGACCGCAGGCCTGGCAGGTAAATGCAGGGTGCAGAGCTCGAGAGTGAGCATGGCAGACATTAATCCTATTATGACTGCCTCAGGGAACTTGGCATCACAGACGTTTTTTAGAACGTTCTCCTCCCCACCCCACCCTGCCCCGCTCCCATACATAAAAGTACTAAGTCTCTGAAGGCAAAAAAGATGCCAGGGTGGAAAACATTTGCTGTCCCTCCAGGGCTGTGCCTGTGACCCATTTCTCCTTCAAATGTCATATCTGATCCGGGTCACCAGGTGGAGGCAGACTGCCTTGTTGAAGACGGTGGTCCACCGCGATTTATTAGCAGTTGAGTTTCTTCTGCTGTAAAATGGCCATAATGTCTGCTGCTCAAAGTTGTAAAAACCAAAGGCAACAACAAATCCTTGGTAAAGAAGCGGCCAGAAAGTGAAGGCTGCTGCCAGTGACGCAGTCCTTGCTGCTGAGAACATTGAAGAGCCTTACAGCTAGAGCTTGGATTTGAACCTGGGTTAGAGTCCAGATGAGGACGTCCCTGCATATGGTAAAACCCACATCCCACGCCACCATTCAGAGCCAACTCTACCCAGCCCTCGAGCAGGGGGTAGAGGAAGGTAAAGGCCACTCCCAGCTTCCCCCACTTCCGGTGCCTGGGTGGTGTTGACCTCTGTTGAGTGGAGAAAACCCAGGGCAGTGTTCCCAAGCTTTTCACCATAAAATTATGGGAACGTTTTTTTGTTTTATCAGATCCTAATACTAGCCATGCTGTCATAGGGTAAGAAGATATTATCATTGAGTTTCTATGGCTTTTGCCCCCATTCATATGGCAAACAATGTGTTTGTTTTTGAACCGAAAATAGTTTATCACGATTTCTGGAAGGGCTGCTATTGGTTCTGTTGAAACAAAAGCATTTTAGGGATTTTATGCATGCCGGGATTTGTTTGCTGTTCTTGGTGATTTTTTTTTCTTTGAGACAGTGTCTCACTGTGTAGCCCAGGCTAGCTTCAAACTCACTGTCTTCTTGTCTCTGCCTCCCAAATTCTGTACCACACACCTGGCATGAAAACAGTGATTTGGTGGGGATGGGAGGCATTCATGACTAGCCCTGCCCCTTTAAGCTATCTGAAGCAGCTCCCTGTAGACACTGCTGGGACCAGTCTCAGCCTTCCTATCACAGGGCTCACCCACAGCTGATGAGGCAGGGTGGAAGTGGCCTGGAACAGGCTGCAGCAAAAATGCATTGCTGGGAAAATCACTCTCTCTACGTCCCAAACTGATGACAAATACTTTAAATTAGTTTACAGAAGTTGGAATGAGTCTGAACTTGCATTTCCCAAGAGCAAGCCCTCAAAGCTGGAGGTCCAATTACCACTGTTACTTGCTATAGTCTTGCCTCTTAAGGAAAAAATGCTTGTAAACTGGGCCTGGTGGCTAGTGCCCAGCATGCCAGCACTGGGGAGGATGAAGCAGGAGGAACAGTGCAAGTCCAAGGCCAGCCTGAGCCATACAGCGAGCTTCAGGCCAGCTTAGGCTACAGAGGGTGACCCTGTCTCAACAAATAAACAATCAGGCAAACAAGCGAGCAAGCAATCAGACATTGATGGACTGTGGGCACGGCCCCCTCTTCCCCCCTGTCTCCACAGCCCCCGGGACACGTGGCAATGCTGATTTTTTTTTCCTTCTTCCTTAGTCTGCCCGCCTGGGCAACATCATTTCTAAAAATCCTGCTGCCAATGCGTACACCATCCCCTCAGAGTTGGTTTCCAAGAAGGACTTCAGCAATTCCTGTTCCAGCATGTTCCAGCTGCCAAGCTTCATGAAAGTGGTCAAATCTGGAACCCCTGCCCCAAACCATTACCACGTAAGGGCATCGCCTGCCTTTGTCCAGTGCCCATGTTTAAAGGCTGTGTTGCCAATGTTCAGGGAAGGGTGTGAGGCTTGGGGGAAGCAGTGTTTTAACACAGAGGGTTAGCCAGTGAGCACTGTTACAAGCTGGGCATGGAGAGGGGTGACTGAGGGTCAGGCAAGAATCTGAAGGTTGGAGAAGGCCCACCTTATTCATTTGATTTTTAGAATTTAATAAGGAAAACTCAGCTTCTTTGTATGCTTTTGCTTTTTGAGGCAAGGTTTCACTATGTAACTCTGGCTGTCCTGGAACTATGTAGTCACCTGTCTGCCCGCTCAGTGCTGGGAGTCAAGGTGTCTGTTATTTTGTGTGTGTGTGTGTGTGTGTGTGTGTGTGTGTGTGTGTGG